TTTTTGGCTGTTATTGCTTCATTCGATAATAAGGAAAGAGGGAAAGAATCATTTATCCAAAATATTCGCACGCCCAGTGGGACTCCAATCCACGGTTGCCTAATTAAAAGTCATATACGCCTTATCCATTAGGGTACGGGCCCAATCGCTGGTTGGTTCCTCAATAGTGATCATACTCTAATGAATAAAGCTTAATGAAAAGTCCACAGAATAAAAAGATGTTGCCATAACTTCCTTTATTTTTTATTACTGGAGCAGCTATCATTTTTTATTTATATTTTTTTTATAACCAACATTACTCATTTTAATAACTATTTATTACATATTTTTAAAATCATGCCTCATAATTTATATTAATAAAAAATAATTAATACATATTTATATTAATTAACACATGATATTTTAGTCTAATTTTTTTATTTTTAGATATAATTATTATAGTTAATTAATTTTTTTAAACTGTGTAATATAATTTTTTCTCTTACATATAAAAAATAAAAGGAGTACATGTTAGGATACATTGGAAGACAATATTTTAGTGAAAGAGTGATAATAAAATACCATTAAAATATATAAACGATAACTAGGTGTTATAAAATGTGATCCTTATTTTTTAATTTTTAAAAAGTTATTTGACATTTTAATTTTTTGTGAAATGACATATTTGTTTGGAATTAAAAATTTAAAATGACAAATAATGGTTTTAATCTAGCATTAATTTCTGGCCAAAAAAACCACCTTCAAAGATGATAAGGTAGACGTTAGAAGATCTGTTGCTCAAATAATAATTTCATGCACACATGATTGTATCGTACACATTTATTTTTGCCATTGAGAAAAAATTGGAAACCCGACAACATTTCTTGCATACAAGAAAGTTCATACTTCATAGTTTTCAGCGAGTATGAGCCCTAAGTCACCGTCTGTCCAGTTATGCATGGGAACAAAATAAAATGAAAACGAAAGATTTGATTCACGGTAATTTGTCATCCAACATCTTGGACTTGCCCAACACCGTCCCAGAGGCAGATCAGGTTCAAGGCTAAAAATTGAAAAAAGAAAAACATCAACAATGTCTCGCTGATGCTTCTTCCTTGACCTCTCACGATCATCTATAGATCCGACTGGTATCAGACTCCTCACTTTCATTGTCTTTGCTGGCATCCAAATCGCCATACCTTGTCTTCCTTCTTCGTCTACTTCTGGTTCCCCTACTCTTAACTGATTTCTTTGCCCGCGCACGATCGTCTTCAGATTCACTTCCACTTTCCTCAGATCTAGTGTCACTGTAGGACTTCCTACTCCCTGCGCGTGGAACCAAAATTCCTTCTCATCTTACTCCTCGAGCGGTAAACATCTGATTCAGAATCAAGCTCGGACTCGAATGGATCCTCCGATCAGGTCTCGTATTTTTTTTTTTAATTTTTTTATGGAGATAAAATAATCTTTTCATGTTAAAATTAATTGACAAACAACTTCTAAAAAATTAGAAAATAATTATTACATTTTATCATATTTATTATTTGAGCATTCCAAGAGTATTTTCTTTTTTTGTCACTCTTCCTATTTTAATTTTAATCTAAAGAAATTGTTAGTTATTAGCTATTTCTTTCTCGTAATTACATTATAAGTCATTGAGTATTGTTAATTAATTTATGTTTTTTTATATTAAAATTTTAGCATTCTAAATTTTTACATCTTTTCAATCATACTTTTAAGTGAAATAAATATAATATTTAACTTATTCAAAAAACACTTATTAATTATTTGAATGGAGTATGGTAAAGTGAAAGTATGATTAAAAAAACAATATATAAAATATGCCTAATATCTTCTTTTTTTGTTGGGGCAAAAAACATGTCCAATATTATATATTTTAAATTAAGTAGGGCTTTTAAAAAATATTATATATTGTGATCAGAATAAAGTAGATCACATGTTTGGCGTTCAAATGTCTATCTCTTAAGTTGTAATCAACAATTGGTGAATTTATGGGCATTTAAAAGGTATTTTCTAAACTTCAAAAGTTTATTGGTAACTCACACTTTTTAAAAAATATTAGTTGAAATTTTAATTTTTTAAAAATATTTACATCTTTTTAATTATGTTCTTGTTAAGTACCTTGTATAAGAGTTTTAATAATAATAATTAAAATTTCAATGCAGATTTTTTTAAAACAAGTAATGAATAAAATAGGAGTATAGTTTAAAAATAATTATAAAAATTATCAATTATCTTATATTTTGAATCAAGACAAATTTTTAAAAGATGTTTTATATTATACTTCGAACAGTAACAAAGAATTGGTGAATTTATGAGCATTGGCTAAAGTTCAAAACTGAAGACTTCGCCTCGCGATTAATTTTTTGTTTGAACAAAGGTTAAAAGTTCATTCATTAAAACTAGTCACGATAAACGTGAAAGTTTTAGTTATTTGATGGAGCCTTCCATTGGGATCCTCTCTGCCCCACGTCATGCATAAACATTAAAAAAAATTAATTTAAAATATGCTTTTGGTTTTTTTAATTTTATGTAAAGTTTCAGTTTAGTTTTTTAATTTTATAAATATTTTTTTCATATTAGGTTCAAGTGAATATTTTTTGTATAATTATTATTATTTTTTAAAGATTAAAATTAATATATATTTTGTCAATGTTTAAAAGTTTAATATATAAATTTTATAATAATGAAATTAATTGCGTAAGTGTTAGGGTTAAGGGACTAAAAAAATATTTTATAAAATTAAGAGATCACAATAAAATCTTATGTAAAGTTAGAAGATTAAATATCAACTTTAACTTTAAAAAAATTATAAATAAAGTTTTTATAATGAATTATCAAAAATACCCTCAATGTGGAAGCATTTGTGGATTTTGCTATTAATGCATGATGGGCACAATGAATAGAAGATGAGATCACATTAGTTGGTTTAACCAATAACCCGGTGAATTGACAAGTTGGCCAATCCGATTTAAGGCAACTTAAGGAAGAATTAACCCAGGCCAACCCAATCAAAATGAGTGTCATCCAACGAGTTAGCCAAGTTAATTTTTTTTAATTTGTTAAAGCTCAAAAATGATGTCATTTTGTTTTTTTTCCCAAAAAAAAAGCCCCTAATGTAACCCTCCTTCATAAGGAAGAGAGACATATACACTCATGCATGCATACTAACCATGTTAATATTAGGTTTGAACCCATGACCTTTTTTAAGAGAGGGACGTGGTGTTCTTTTTTTTAGATGAATTTTCTATTTGAAATCCCTATACTTGAAACCAAATCGCTTTGTGTCTTAGATGGTTAGACCTCAATGCCTCTCACTATCAAGTTTATGTCTACCGACGTCCCAAATTATTCGCACTTCACAATTGCTTGTCTCTCATTGTGTCTCTATTCTGAAACCTCATTGTTTCTATCTCTTGGTGTTGCTTATCTACTCGCCTAGTAGAAGAAGACAAAATAAAAAAAAATGAAAGAAGATGATGGAAGAAGATGAAGAAAGAAGAAGATGAAGATGCTTGGAAGTAAAGCTAAAAACTTTAAATGATGAGGTGATGGATGTAGAGGATAAATCTAACACATATGGGGAAAAACAAAAAAAGGTCTTAAAATAATGTAAAGTTAGGTAAAAGAAATTAAACACATGCTCAGAAAATTCAAAGTCCCAATCACACATTCCTATGTTCTAATTTAACCTGCATAGAGGATGATAATATGTGTCAGGCCACAAATAAACATGTACATGTTTATAATTATATATTGTAATTTTTTTAAAAAAAAACAAGCAAACATTATTTTTTACCAAATATTTATTATTTACTATATGATAAAAAATATTATTTTAATCATAATCAGTCTAATTCTAGTTGAACCGCTAACTTATGAACTGATGTCTCAACCAATTTAATAATCAGTTTGGTTTTTAGATCTTAGATGGATAGGATCTCCATAAAAGGATTAAGAATCCCATAAACATTAAAAATGAGCGGTTTGGCCTCTAGAACTTGGCATGGAAAAGGAATTAAGGTAATTCCAAGGCATTGTCAACCTTATAGCTCTAGCCAAGTGGTTAAGGCATGTGCCTGCTAAGTACATGGCAGGGCTGTGCATGGGCAGGGTTGGGTAGGGCAGTCCATTAACCCGATGCCCTGCCCTAAATGTCTTCAGGCAAAAAAACTATGCCCAAAGCCCGACCCTACCCGAAAGATGCTTGACTTTGAAGGGGCCAGGCGGGTAGGGTCGGGCACCTTGGGTAGGGTCTCCAGCCTTGCCTTACCAAAATAAAGAATCAGAACCATCCATACAAATTTGAAATACACTGTAGCAAATTAATTATTTCTATCAATAAATCACTTCAAGTTCTTATTTTAAAAGTAATAGATTGTTAAATATCACTAGCAAAAATATTATGGTGTCATCAAAAAACTTAATGGCAAAGCAAATATGGAAGGAATTTTTCATGCAAGTCACAAGTGCTGTCCAGTTCCAAATTCTAAGGAATATAGAAATATTCAACCTATGGTTTACAAACTTGATCATCAAGGCACCTAAAAAAAACTACCATTTACGTCCCCATCAAGTTAAACAAATTACATCCTATATTATTATTTTTATAAAAAAATATATTATAGCTTGGGCTGAGCAAGGTCAATTGGTTAGATACCCCAGCCCTAAACCCTACCCAACCCGAAGATCAGGCTCAGCCGGACCATGCCCAAACAGTATTGGGCAATTTTTTTAAGGCTCGGGTTGGGCATATTTTGCTCGGGTCAGGTCGGGCATCTCAGGCTTATGGCCATCTTGCATAGGCCTAGTACATAGGCTCTGACCTCGAGAGTTTGAATCTTTCAGGTGATGTTCTTTTGTTTTTTCCTCTTGTATCATCCTAGGAAAATTAACCAAGATTAAGTTAAATTAAATGAGATTAAGTTGTGAAATTATGTAGTGTGTGGCCAAGGAAATTTAATAAGTGCTTTTAATTGTGGTTTAAGCCTTAGATTCAAGTTCGAAGTGAAGTCAGGTCACTCAAACATCAAAAAGTGAGAAAATTAAAGGATTTTGGGACTGTACCACATACCGCGGCATGCACAAGCTTAACTATGGTGTACGTGCAACAATGGGTGAAGGTAGGATCTCTTTGTATCATGCACCTCAGCATATAGATAAATTCTGACAGTAAAAGGACTAAAAAATTAGTTCTGAAAAAAAGAGAGAAAATAGGAATTGAGCGAGAGAAAGGAAGAGCACGATTTTAGCTATGCTATGGCTTGCTATTGAGGAATATTTGTGATGTTTTAGAAGCTTGTAAACATCAAAGGTAAGCATTTTAAGTCCCCCATTTCTTTCCTTCTCCATTTTCTTAAAGAGTTAAGATAGGGTTTATGTTGAAATGTTGATGTTCGATCTATAATGACTATGGGTCCAAACTCATTGACTTAAATAGAAGTAATATAAGTTGTTTAGATTATTTAAACCTATCATTTATGGCTTTATTCATTTGTAATGAGTAGGTGTTATTAATACTCAAAATTTATCATAAATGAGGTTGTTGGAGGTGTTTGATGGCCATTGATGGTAATTTAATGGCTCATTAATGATAATGTGAGTTAAAAGAAGTTAATAAACCCTATGTGTATGCTAAATGAGAGTTTGTGATTTTTGTTAACTGAGAGTAGTGAGTTTTTTTTTAACGAAGAGAGTAGTGAGTTAAAGTGTTAAAATTTATCTTGATGAGGATATTAATGATTATCCTTGTGATTAAATTGTAGAAACTAAATTGGCATCATTCAAGCTATTGAAAAGCTTTAAAAGTATGTATTTTGAGAGATAAACATTTGACCTCTCAAAAATTTAAGGTAATTGAGAAAAATTTAGTTTATATAATTGTTTGTTAATTCATTCTATGTTAAAAGAATTTTTTTAAAAATAGTATGACAATTACCAACTTGTTTTTTATGCAAATTGTGGCAATGTGACAAATTACGTGATGAGCATGCTTATATCGAAGTAATTAAAATGGTAAAATTGTGAATTTTAGACATGCACGTTGAGCATGGTTGTATAGGTGGTAGTGATGAGCATGATATGAGGTCACTAGTATTAATAGAATTGCATGCTATGTGTTGATGTGTGCATGACATGATTATTTATGGTGAGAGTTCACCTAAGGAGAAGAGTAAATATTATAAATCCATGTGGTATTGGTGGCTTATTGCTGGAATCGGTAGCCAGACTGCTAACCTTAGAATCAGGAGATAATGATTGTCTTATTGTTGTTAAGGGATTGTCTTACTTGTTTTTCAAGGGACTTGAATCTAATTAGTTTCCATCGATTCATAAGGAGGCTAAATTAGGGATATGACATTCCATAATTATTAGTCTTAGGAAAAATCGTGATTCACAAGTAAGTCTGGTAGCCTTAGTCAAGAAGCTCCTCATGAGTAGAAGGCTTGGGTAGTTCGAGTTCATAAACATAGCCCACTATATAGCTACTAGTTTCATGTCAGAGGTATCAGAGGAATTTAAAGATGGTATTGATCATACATTTCATATTTCAATCACATAGTTGTTGTTATTATGGTCTGAAAAAAATTGATAAGGGTATATGATTGTTAATATTGTGACCCTATATATTAAATGTTCAGTATTGATATGTTATTATGCATATTTGTGCTCGATTTGTTATTGTTGTGAGTTGTGGTAATTTTTGAAAAGTGAATATACTTGTAAAAATTGTGTAAATGCCCTTTACATTTTTATAATTGATTGACATGCATTTGGATATAATAGTTTGACATTGGTTATTAAGTGGTTGTACTTACCCATCTTTTCAATATTACAGGAACTAGCTCATTGAATTAGGATTGAGGGAAATGACTAGAGGCATAGAATTCAGTAAAAATCCTACAAGTAAGCCTTAAAGTTTTATTTATATGTATTTTTATTGATAATTTTCCAACTATGCTTATATGATATTTGACTAATTGCACTATTTGAAAATTAAATTGAAGGTGTATTGTGCCCTATGTTGTATATGTTGTGGTTAGAAGGTTTAAACAATGTAATATCTTACAAATTAAACTCCTTGATAATCAAACTAATCAAGAGTAATTAAGTAAGATCTGTGTAGTGTGCAGTTAGAGAAAACTAATGAGTGTTTTGGTTGTAGTTTCAACTATAAGTTTGGGTCCAAGGTGAAATTGGGTCACGTAAGCTTCAAAAGAAGAGAAAAACAAGGGAGAAGGTCTTGGTGCCACATACCGCTATATGCCATGATGCATGGAGATAGAAAAATAAGAAGAGCTTCTCCATGCCACTTGTTGCGGTGAATGTAGTATGTGCCATAGCGCATTGCCTATTTTTCCTAAAAATAAGATGCAGACAGAAGTAAAAATATAAGGAGAAAATAAGAGTTTGAACAAGAGGAAGAGGGAGGGAGGAAGCTTAGAGCTCTGCTAAGGCTTCATTTTTAAAAGGATTGGAGGCATTTTAATACTATTAAATCCCAAAAGTAAGTCTCTTAACCTATTATTCTTCCTTCCTAACCCATTCTCTTGAGTTTACGGTTAGGATTTATTAATTGGAGATGATTTTTGATCCATATAAGTTTTAGGCCTAAACTCATTCACTTAAATAGAATGAATATGTGTTATTTGAGTTGTTGAAACCATTAATAGATAATTTTATACATTAATGATAGTGGGTGGACATTTATGTCTGAAAATATGTGATTAAATATAAGTAATGAGGGTTGTTGAGCGAAATTAATGACTTTAAAAGAATTTAATAAAGTTAGTGGAGGATAATGGATGATAATGTGCTTGATATATAATTTAGAATGTAAAGGACAAGGATTTTGGGAGACTTAAGTGATGAAATTAAGAGTTTAAAGTGTGTGGATAGTAATGCTGATGATTGTAAACTTGATTAATTGTAAATCAATCTTCCATGCATTGGTTTGAGCTTGAAAACAAGCTTGAAAGCATTAACTTGAAGGGTAAACCTTTGACCTCTTAAAGGTTTGAGGTAATCAAGGAAAATCTATTTTGTGTAATTATTTGTTAATTGAATTATATTTTGAAAATTGATTATTTGACATGAATGATTGAAAATTGTGGTTGTAAATATATGTCAAGAATCATGAGAGGTTTTGTTAACCCTAATTTGGTTATAAATATGAAGTTGAAGAAATGTTTGCATATTATGATTTTGAATTGAAATAAGGAATTGATAAGTTGATTTGATGATTGTGTGGTTGTGATAGTTTTGAATGTAATGGTTAATTAAAGTAGAGAATATGTGATTGAAGATTGGGAGTGAAAGTTATATGCAATAAGTGATAATGATTGTGATGCTCATATATTTTAACTAGTTACATGATTGAAAATAGTAAGCTTGTTATAGTGGTATTACAAGCATAAGTGTGTAAGTGTGAGCATGAGACATTACATGATCATTTAGTGGGAGTTTGCTTAAGAAGAGAAGTAGATAAATTCATATGGTATTCTCTGGTTGCCTTTCAATGCATGAAGGCTAGCTTTATCCCATCATTTGTCAAGAGACTGTCTCATAGTTTGTTGAGAGACTTGAACCTAGTTATATCCACCTATTTGTTGAGAATACTAGTTTAGGGTATTACGATACTTTTGGGATTTGAGAATAGGGAAAGCCATAGTTTAAGAGTGAGTGTAGTGATCTTTAGCTATGTTACTCTTTACAATTGATGAGTTTAGATAGTCATTCATATTGATAGAGTTCTAATTGATTTATAGCTCATGGTTTTAGTTGAAGGAGATAAGGAGAAATTGATTATGCATTTTTATTTAATGTGTCATATAGTTGATAAATTTATGGCAAGTCATGATAATGGATGGTACCATTGTCACATGGTTATTAGATTTATGGCAATGTGTATAACTATAATAATTGAGCTATTAACATAGTTATCAATGTTGTGACAATGAGCTCCATGTTGTGACTGTTAGATAATTGTGATATGTGCTATGTGTGATCGAATACTTGACTTTCATTTTTCATAAATTTTTAATTGTCAATTAATATAGAAATACATAGGATAGATATACTTTAGTTATTGAGTGGTTATATTTACCCCTCTCTTTTAATATTTTATAGGTTCTAGCTCGGGTGCATAAAGGGAAAAGGTTATGAGGCTTAGAAATTTATTATTCCTATTGTAAAGCCTTAAAAACTCAATTATTTTGTGTAATAAATATAATATTGCCATTTAAAGGATGCATATTGTTTGCACTTGCATTATATTGTTGTTTATGATTATAGGATGTATTTTGAGCCCTTAAATGTGGTATATAAGAATGATTACTGTTAATAGGGTTAAAATACTAGTGTAAGTATAGAAATATTAAATTATACACAACTATGGAAGTTAATTAATGAAATGTAACAACAAACCTCCCTTCTCTGTTTTTTATATTAAAAGATCGAGGAATGGGATTTTGTTATGATTATGTGTATGTGGCATGTTATACAGATAATCTTAGGTCCATTGAGTGTGATTTGGGTATTAGTGTTAACTTTTGGCATAAGCGTGGAGTTTTAGACACCTTTATGTGTAAAGAGTGAGAAATGTTGAGAAATTGTGTTTAGATGTCCAACTCTCTGGTGTGAAATAATTTGAGAGTAAAACATGTGTCATTAACTAATTTATGAAAAGAGCCTTTTTAGACCCCTGTATCACCTCAAATAGACTTTAAAAGAAGAAATAGGGCGCGTTAGAAATTTTTCTTGAGTGTTGTTATATGACAATATAGAACTGTCAAATTTTATGCAACACATTACGACGCGCAGTATAGAAAAGGACAAGCTACAGCTCATATACACATGTTGCAACTCTATCTTTCGCTCCTTAATGTTTTACAACTAGTTTTGAGTCTATTTAACTCCAAAAAGGGTATTGCATGCTTTAGTAATGATATTTTACTCTGATTAAGCTTATTAAATGATGATTTAAGTATTTTCCAAGTATAAAATCTTAGGATCTTGTTTGTATAAAATTACAAACTTGGCAATCTAATTGGTTTAGTCTAATGATTGCCTTGGGTTTTGTGTTAACTGTGATTTAGTAAGGGTGACCTTACAAATAAAGCTAAAACATTAGTGCAAGTAAGGAGGCATTTAAATAAATGGATATTATAAATTATATGATGATATATGAGAATTTGGCTCCCCCTATGTTATTATGATTCAAGGATTTAAGTAGTAAAAATGTGGTATTTGTGTTATTTGGTTATCGTGGAGTCTTGCATGAGTATGCCATAATCTATGCAGTGTGATCTAAGGGTTGGTGTGAATTTTTGACACTTGGTTTAAGTACTAGACACCTAAGTTATGTTATATAAGAGTGAGATTTAAAATTGGTGTCCTATTTTTTTATTGAAAATAATGTGAATATAAGACCAATGTTATTAACTAAAACTTAAAGAAAGCTTTTTATAGACACATAAATCACCTCAATTAAATGTCGGATGAAGAATCAGGGCAGGTTTGAAGTTTGCCCTAAGGGTTGTCTTATGACAACAAGTTTGCTGCTAGATTTCATGCACGCCACGATGCATGGTGCCATGGTGCTTGTGTCGTGGCGCATCTGCATCAAGCCTGACACATCCCTTTATGCAAAAATAGTATTCTTCCAAGCTAAAATGCAAATGCTTTAATTCAAATTGGATTCACATGCTTCCGTGAATGATTTAACTTTGATTTCTGTTGATTAGACAATCGTTCAAAGTGTTATGATTTTAGAAAACTTGAGATCTTATTGTTGTAAGTGTCACAAACTTGATAATCCTCTTAGGTAATTACCATAATTATCTCAGTTTTTAGGTTAATTTAGTTAAGTAAGAGTGACCTTACACCTCTAACGAGTCTCCTTCTCACATATTGTTCACGTTAACCATTATGGCCTTTCGAGACTTTTGAGCATTAAAGAATATACTTTTCCTCTTCAATTTCATGTGTCATGTCCTATCTACTCTATTCATTTATCGTCGTAATTTTGTGATGTCTACTTCAAACTGGAGCACCAAATCTTGCCACCAATAATTTATATGGCCTTTCTTCCCTCAGTACAATTATAGCATAACAACCCGAACTTATAAAACTCTTGTTTGTTTTAGTGTTAGAGCTATATTAAGGGGCCCCTAGTAGTAGTACACCCTCTCCATTTGGAAATTTCACATCTTATATTTTTTAATCATTTTGTATACTTCTCTTTGCTTTAGGTCCCAATCCAAACAACCTTCTTGTAAGCACAACATTTTATTTAGAAATTGTAAGAGAGCCATGCTCAAATCAGTATGCATCTCTATGTCCCAACACTTCTAGTGTTGTAGTTCTCATAACGAGGATAATCTAAAATAAAACATAGGAAAAAGAAGGCAATTTTTAGTGATGACCAAACAAGAGTGTAAGAGCCCATAAGCAAATAAGTCAATTGCTTAGGGTCCCAAATAAAAGCCCCGAATACTCCTTGTATGTATAGATTAAATAGATGTATTTATACCGTTATGTAATAAATGCCAAATGAAGAAAGTAAAGCCTTAATTCTTCTCCTACTTGAAAACCTTGTCACATTCTCAAAATAATATTTAATTATTGGGTTAGTCCCAACTTGGCTATTAATTATTATTTATTCTCTTTCTACAATTCCCTTATAGCATCATCATCTCTAACTCTCTTACTTTTTATCTTCACTCTTTCACTTTTCTTCCTTTTCTTGTTTCTATTTTAAAGCATAAAAAAATGTCATTAGACACTTTTTTCACTGCAATTTTTTTTTTTTTATAATTTTGGATCCAACCAAAGCATTGGCACATATACCATTGAGCAGGTTTTTTTTTTTAATACAAGACCACGGTGAAAATCATGCAAGAGACCAAAAATCAAGTTATGTCGGAAGCCATAAAACTTCTACATTTAATGGGTGGTCTATCAAAGAAAGTAGTATCAAAATTATCCTCCGAAACCATATGGGCGAGACAGATGGCACAACGGTTAGCTTCTTTGTAGACGTGGTCAAAGGAGATTTTCTAATTTCTCATAGCGAAGCTTCAAATGTTCTTTAAAATTTGTGCAAGAGGGTGGCTTATTGAGTAGGGCTTTTGTGTTTGTCTCTATGCTACTCTTTATGGTGTTTTTGTTCCATTTCAATCCAGGCTTTACTTTTTAAAATAAAAAATACTGAGTGTTTTTTTTTAAATATTTCTAGCAGTAAAAAATGTCAAATTATTATGTTAGGTTCTTTTACTCGTTTCGTTTTACGCCTCAAAATCTGGCCTGCAACCAAATAAGAAATGATCGTTTTCATGTACCGAATGGAGTATTGGCTTTTATTTTTTCTTTTCAAACAAGTTCACTTGCATGGCGCTTTCATTGCTGGGGAAAAAGGGCAGGGGCTTCAAGATATGGAAGTGATGACACCAGTTTCGATACTCATCATGATGAGTTATAGTATTTTATTTTATATTTAATAAAATAACAATTATAAATTTTTATAAATTTATTTTATTATTAATTTAGATTTAATCTGAATGATAAATTTAATATTAAATATTTTTATAATTTTTAAAAATTGACTATCAAGATGTACTCTGAATAATCTAGATTTAAAATTTTTAAATTATAATTTTTTTAAAACTCCAGTTTGAAGATTGTCTTTATTTTTATTTTTAATATTACATTTACTAAAATAAAAATTTTAAAAAATAATTTAACTTTACATCTATATTATCTAAAATATATCTAAATAGTCAAGTTATAAAAATTATAAAAATATTTAATATTAATTTATCATTTAAATTAAATCTGTATTATCCAAATTAATAATAGATTAAATTTATTAAAATTTATAATTTTTATTTTATTAAATATAAAATAAAATATAATAATTTGGACCAGGCGATTCAGATTGCTTATCATGTAATGAGCAACGAAGCCGGCCTTGGAAGTTCATGATTTTTATTGAACTAGTGGGATATCGTTGATTTAAGTCATTTAACACTGAAACGCTCAGATACGAATGACATTTTTTTGGCCAAATAACGAAAACGAATGACAGTTAGTTGCCTCAGGCGACAACAGTGACTACACCACCACCTGAGGAATGACACAAGCTCAACCGATGACTCTGGTGGCTCGAGCCAGTGCAACGGCAACACTGACACACCCCGAAGTGATTGGGCCTTGACCTTGAGCGAGGGTTATATCATTGGACTAACACTCTTGCTAGCCGGTAAGATATAGCCTCAGATGGAATCAATTTTAAATGTTTGGATTTGACAATCTTAAATTATAGGGAAATTGATAAATAAATTTAAAAAAATCAATTAATTTAAATTAAATTTAAATATCAAACTCTAAAAATTTATATATCTCAATTTTATAATTTCATTATAATAAATTTACAACTTATTTGTCGACTTTTAATATAATTTAAAAATAAATAAATTTATTTTTGCTATTAAAATTTAAAACATAAGTTACAAATTTATCACAATAAAATTATAAAATTGAGAATTAAATTTGTAAATTTTTAAAATTTTATACTTGATAATTAATTTGAATTAATTAAAAACTTCTCTATCATTCTCCGTAAATTATAATCGCAATAGCATAGAGAATATGCATACATTCGTATTCAAATACTTTAGGACTCTCGGGACCTGTAAAATAGCAATGATGTTTATGAAATGTTAATCTTGCAGCTTCATAATTGATTTAAGCATCCGCATTTAGTACTTATCGAATGCTCATCAAAGCTAAGAGCAATCTTAACTCTTCATTTTAATCTTATTTGATCCTTACTGTTCATTTAAATTAATTTTTAAATATTTATAATATTCTATTTATTAAAATAAAAATATAAAAAATTTTAATATTAAATCTGAATTATTTAAAATATATTTAAACAGTTAATTTATAAAATTTATAAATTTTTTAATATTAAATTAAATCATCTAAATAATACTTAAACTGTACAGAATATCTATTAAGTTAAATTATAAAATTATAAATTTTTTAATATTAAATTAAACTACTAAATTAAATCTGGCCAAATTGATAATGAATATATATATATTAAAAACTTCAAATTTTTTATATTAATAAATATAATATTAAAAATATTTTAAAAAAATTAATTTAAATAGATAGCAAGGATAAAATAAGGCTGAAATGAAGGGCCAAAATTATTCCTGGCTCTGATGAGCATGCTCATCACAAATGATAAGCATCAAATGCAATTCCGTTAATTTAATCGCTACGATTAGGTAGCTGAATACAATGCGCATGAAACCACGGCTACAGTTGACGCAATGTTCCCGCAGGGTCATTAATCGTCAACTACGTCCCACTATCAATCTCAACTGTCGCAAAAGCTAAGTTTCTAAACACAGCCAAAAAGGGATACGTAAAGCATTCTGCAAAAGGGCAATTACACCATGAACTTTGATGAAGAGAAGCTTCTAATTTTGAACTCCTAGAATTGAGTATATCTATACAAAATTTTAAATCAGATAAGCACTATAAAAACCTGCTTATCTCACTAATATTGGAGCAAATTTCTGTGAATCGTAAAATGAAAAATCAAATCCCAGAAGTGACTGGAACAATTCAGCCAATGCTATATACCACCGTTCCAGTGCATCAACCTAATGTTGCAGGTTAAATGTCGTGCTGAATGTACTCGAGGAAAAATACTGGTCTATCTAATGACCAAGTCACCGGGGAAACAGCAATTAATGTGGGCAGTCACAGAATTACTCAATGACAAATATGGGTCTACTTAATGACCAAATTGCTGAGGAAACATCAATCTACTGAGCAGTCACCAAGAAAACCATAGAAACAATGGAGAAGCCAATTAACCTCTTGCAGCGCACAAATACACAACCTCGCCCAAGCTCCATAGCTATGATTCAAGCATTCACCGTGAGACATATGGCAACTAAAGCATCATGCTCTGAGCCAGCCAGCAAGGCTAATGATAAAATTCTGTCAGGTTTCAATTTGCAAGCACCTGTGCTGAAGAAAACATTATCCAACATTCAGTACATAAATCAGCTATTGCCATTCCCGACAATTACCGCACCTCCAGCTCCTAATCTAGAAGGTGATTCAACCCAGGGTGAACAGTGGCTGTGAATCCAAAGACCACAAATCTCACAAGAGAGATCAGGAGCTGGTTCCATCTGCAAGCATTGACAACAAACACTGCCTGGTAAATAAGCCGCAGGTTCTTGTTTTTCAACTAAACTAAGAGCGCCACATTCTTCAGGAATGCCATTCATATTCAAAGTGGAAACACTTTCCAAGTATCCAGACAAGTCCTCAGATCCATCAGCTCCCTCAAACTGATTATCATCTGGCTGCAGCAATTCTGTTACAGAGAAGTAGGTATGGGGTTCAAAGTCCATGAATTCATAATTTTCACTTCCACATTCATTCAGAAGATTATTATCTAGGCAAACAGCAGGGTCATATTCCACAGGAGATGATGCCTTCTCTGCAGCTGACAGATTACCTGTTCCAAAGGATTCATCACCATCCCCCTCATGCTTAACATGTCTTCTCACTGGTAGTTTCTGAAGCCCTAGACCAGAGACAGCATTCCTCTCAACATCCACTTCTGTATTAGGCTCTGTTATCAGCTCAGCACTTGAAAGAGAGTAAAGCAGAGGGTAATTGTCTTGTCTCATTCCATCATCTCCTATAGGAAAGTTAGGGGTAGCAGGCACACACTGTTTTGGTTCGGAAATAACTCCAAAATTGTTGATGCTTGAATTATCCTTCTTTGATGGTCGACGGTGTTTCTTAGTGCCCTCCTGCATCTTGGGCTTCTTATCAGAGTAAGGACACTCTGGAGATTTTATCCTGCGGCACTTGCAGCATTTGAAGCCTGACACTTCAAAAATTTTTGACTCTTCTAGTTCAAGAGCATCAGCATGATACCAATCTGTGAAAAACACATACAAAGAATGCATAAGTGAGTGTTAAGCACTTATAAGCTTTCATTCAATTGCCAAAGAATACTTACTCTTGCATGTCTCACAGCAAACATACATCAGATCGGACCTATATGGTTTACGGCACAAGTGACAAACAGGTTGTAAGTGAGGTGCACCTGAACCTCCCTTTAGAAGTATGTTTCTAAGCCTGAAATCAATGCCTGTATCCTCACCAGCCTTCTTATTCCATATAATACCCCAAGAAGACATCCTGCGACGGCTTTTAGTTGCCAGAGAGGAATCAGGAGTGCCTTGTTTCACGTCAGGACAAGTATCCTTGATACTGGTAGATTTCAAGACTTGATCATAACATTTAGGCCTTGATCCCTTCATAACAGCCACAGAGCTATGTTCTTGTCCTTGCAAGAGTAAGGGACTGGTTGGAGACTCATCACTGGTCTTTTTTTGGGCAAGCAATTTGGCATAACAGTGCTTGCATGTGGTTAAGAACTCAACCTCCTTGTTTGTAGAGAATGTTGAACTTATAGAACAGCCCTCATGGCAATAACCTAACAACCATTAGGTAAAGAACATTAAGATACATGTTGACTTGGGGGGGGGGGGGAGACAAAACATCCTACCACATTCAGAATTTCAATATTAAGCATTAAATATGTAGAAAATGTGTGTTTTCTCTCTTAAGTCAGCAAAGAATATGCGTGACTTATTTTATAAGAAACTGAGGCTTTTCAATAATATCTTAAGAGGTTAGGGCAACATAACATATTGAGAGAAGGGACAACGGATCGTGCATGAAGTACCTTGACATGCATTGCACTTGAGAGCATTCCTGAAATTGTAGCAAGGAAAGAACATGAGTAAAGGAGAATAGTTGTCAAAAAGAAATGGGAGGAAGGGATACCAAAAAAATATTGATGACACTGATAGATAGTCAAGGTAAGGCAATTACCCAGCTAATACGTCCACCTGACATACAGCACATGAAAATATATCCCAGCTGTCTCTCTTGCAGGTAAGGTAAAAAAATATATCCTTGCAAACAGCTTTCAACCGCCTCCTTTGCTGATGAGATTCCAACTTCAAATTCTCTTGATGAGATGGCATTTTTTCTATACCTTCTTCATACTCTTTTACCAAATATAAAGGAACACGTGCTTCAGAAAACCAATACTTTTCCTTTCCTTCTCGACATTGTTCTACTTCAACAATGTTTTTCATTATACGAGAAGGAAGATGCTTTTGGTTCCCAAAAACAACTCCATACAAAAGTTTCCCCCCCACTTCTTTCTTATCACAGATATTAGCATTTCTGAATGCAGAGGATTCAGTCTCTTGACCTTTCCCATCCTGGAGATTTTGCTCAGGACAAATCAGATCACTCCATCTAAGATGGAAATCAAGGTATCTGACCTGATGCAAAAAATTAAAAATAACATCAATTTACAAGACTTGGCAATTTCATTATGCTGACAGCAGAATAAAATTTTCTAATACAATGAACAAGCTAATAAAGTAAAAGGACAACCTGAAGTGCAAGCTGTGATGCATTCCCACTCATTTGAACTGCAGCTCTCCAAACTATCTGTCTGCTTCTTTTAGGGATTTCACAGCCATCAGCATAGGAAATACCAGAAATTTTTCTCAAACCACCTGTTTTTCACAAACATTAGCACACAATCTTTGATTCTCTCGCAAATATTACCATTAGAAAAAAATGGCAAATAAAATACCTTGGCGAGCTGCCTTTCTGACCACAGATTTTGGCAAAACTGCTTTTAGAAATAATATTTTCATGGATTTACCACCATACCACCAGTCAAGATTGTTTTCATGAGAAACATCAGCGGTAACTTCATCAATAGCTGATTGTTTCTTGTAACGCCTTCCACTTGGTGCACGTGTCTGTATTGTTCCAACAGAACTTGCAGCACCTTGAATAATAGAAGATTCAACCAACCAATCATCCATCAGCTTAACCCACTCACCAGTAAAAGATATTGTGCGAATGTTTTCCTCAAGCTGGGAAAAGAATTCAGTCAGTGACTCAATGAATAACATATTACACATCCATAACTTTGACACGGCAGTTAGAAGAAGCAAGCTATTAGATTGAACATAACTCATCCCCAAATTTGCATGTATAACGCAAGACCTATTTGTATCACATGCAACTTTGATATCAAATACACTATCATATTTCAGAGGGGCTTACAAAAACAAATTAAAAAACCGACCAAATAATAGAGCAAGCCTTCTCAAAGCACATGTCCACACATTATGAAGTATAGTGACCAAAACCATTTACTACTTGAGACAATTAAATAAATATGACATCAAAACTTTGAAACAGATTATTAATTAATTACATAAAAATACTCACTTCAAGCAAAAGAGGCTTTATAGCTTTAAATGTTTTAGCCTGTTCAACTCGTTTACGCCATAGCTTTCTGTAATTTGCATTTAGAAAAGGCCCAACTATTAAACCATGTAAACTTTCCTCCAAATATATGATATATGTTGCAATGCTTGGAAGAATCCCCTCTCCACTCCTTACAGTGGAAAGACCACTTAAAACTTTTATAGCACTTTTGGTGGCACTCAGGGCAGCATGATTTAGCATGCAACCTCTCTTGCTTGAGGCTGAGGCTTTACAAGAAAGACACCAGCCACACCTCTCTCTTGGTACTTCTACAAGCTTCTTTTCAGAATTTGGCCAAAAGAAGCGTGAAACTGTCATTGAGAATGCTTTTGCTTGCAAAGAAGCGCTTTCAGCTGTAAATTTCCTCAAATTATCTGAAACATGACCCTCTGACCTAGAATCCTCTGAAGAAAGAATAGCCAATTTAGCAGCAGCAGATGCAGCAAAATCACCATGCATGTAGTGATTAATGTAAGACTGAGGCTTAAAAGAAAAACCCATGTATACAAAATCCTTAGTTGAATTATGTTCAACCTTTACAGAATTAGTTTGGTTGCCTTCTTTAAGTCGCAAGGACAGAGTTAAAGGCAACAGCTTATCATTTGCATGCCCATGACTGGTGGTCATATCAAAGAGACTGCGTTGATGACCATCAGGACCACCAGAGATGACAGTCTCCATTCTAGTCTCCTTAGAAAATATAGTATTCATGGTAAAGCAACCCCTAGATCTAGTGTCACTGCTGATTTCGAAAGCACAAGCCTCTCTAGTAGTGGTGACCAGCGAGTCAGATGGAACCACGTAATTACCATGAGTTACAATCCCACTGGTTACAGGGTATTCTACTTTCACTAAATTAACAGCTGCATCCTCTTTTTCACCCAACGGAGTGGTTGATAAACAAGAGAACTTTGCATCTTCCACTGTACTTGAATTGTTAACATCTGTTCCAGTTCTAACAGATACTGGCAGGATACTTTCTGGAATATTCCAATAATGTAACACAGCAATACAAATTCCATAATAGACGGGCCTATGGTCAACAGAAGCGTAAAGCACCTGGAGAACTTTTGAAATGTCATTCTGGTTGTAATATCTGAGACAAAGTTCACTGTTGACAGTGAGTCTGCAATAATACATGAGAAAAGATCAAAAGGATGATAACTCAGACACTGAAAGCATTTATAGTGACAAAGATAGCAAAGGATAGAAGACAAATAACCAAAGCACAGATTTTAGACTGCCAAGAAAATGGACTATAAATATCACAAATCATAATTCAGTAAAAGCACAACCAGTGAAACAAATGATGGAGATGAAAAAAAACATTAAAAAGATGCTGAACATACACCAGTAAGTGGTCGCAAGTACCCATGAAGAGTTGTCCATAAAGATCCATTCCAAATAATTCAGCCCCTCTAAGTGATGTTCCCCGTGCAATGCTTAACCCATTCATATTAATTTTGCACTCTGGACAATACCATGGCCCTTCTGGTATAAACATTTTCATCACTCCAATACACCTAGAGTGATATGCAGACGGACATCCGTCACAGCAAAGCAAGGTCCCATCCATGCCACAGAGGCGACATTCATCTCCATTTCTGTCAACATCAGCATCCTCGGTCCTTCTAGTGTCTCTGAAATCTAGAACAGAGTTAGCAGGTGGCTTCACAGAATTAGATTCTAAAACAAACTTTGTAGCTTCTTTATCCTTGCAAGCAGTTTTAGCATTTCTTGGATGGAATCTTGGCCAATTTTCTTCTGAAAGGATATCTTGAGCATCATAGTCCATCCCAACTTCTAATTCTTCACGAATGCCCATTTCAGCTTTCATTTCCTCAGACTCCAAAACATCATCACAAAGAATTTGCAGTATGATCAACTTCCTACTTACAGGTAATAAATAATACTCGCCATTAAAAATCTCATCATAAAATCCTTTCCACTCAGGTCCTTTTGTGTATCCATAAATTGCTAGATATTGAACAACAAAAACAGGCCAAGTCAATGCATCAAGCAAACCCCAATCATTACACCTGCAAGTACATTTCCAAAGTTAAGTGAACCTTGCATAAGTGGTTAACCACACAAGAAGCATAATACTAAACTTTGAGATGGTGAGTCCATCAAGACATGTATCTTCAAATGTTACAATTAGATTAGGGTAAGGAATTCTCTGCCCTTCAAAAACATTAGTCAACATATTGAAACACCCCGCATTCAATTGTTTCAAAATGGATTGAAAGTAGTGGTGGTGTTGGTGGTGGTGGTGGTATGCCTCACTTCTTCAATCAAAGGTGATCTCCCCTAAATGCCTCCCCCAAAAAGAAAAAATAAAATCAAAACCGAAGTTTTGTTTCTCATCAATAAAAAGCATGATTGATAAATTACTTGTATAGTGAATGTCCACAAGCAGGGAAGTTTAATTATAAATAATGATGCAACAAAAATTAAATGAGGGAAAAAAACATCAAATTCAAAGGTAGGGAGAGAATCACCTCAAGCATTTTGATGCATGCTCTGAGCCATCAGATGAAAGTGTTTCAAGGTGACGCCTCAATGCACGCATTAGTGAAACATGAATGGAATCAAACAAAGTATTTGAAACTTGGCAGTTAAGAGAACCAACAAAATCATCCAATGAAAACGGACTTAAAAACAGGCGAATGCTGAATGACCGCAAAAATCCATAGACTGCCAGAAGATGAGAGACATATGGCTCTGGCACCCCAATAGTTCCTGAAGACGGTGGAAACTGCAGTGGAGGAGGTAGAGAAGGTATCTCTGCTTCAGACGCGGAATCTCTTTCGTCGCTTGATGAATGAGCATCCTCCTCAACATCTACCTCGTCGTGTTCAGTCAATAACCCACCAGACAATTCACTTGACACAAGGGCCTCAAGCCCGAGGACAACTTTGTTTAAGTCAGCAGAACTGTTCTTCGTGCCATCTGTTTTCTTGGCACTATACTTCAACACCAATTGATCTAATTCATTCCTCCTTCTAGTCAACTCATCATCAAAATCACAGTCGTTGAGAAGCATTCCACGAATTTCGCTGCTATCTAAATCCTCGAAATCACCATCCTCATAACTGACTCTATATAAGCCACACTCGTAATACACAACTTTCCCAAGAAAAACTCCACTTCCCTTAAACTCTTTAATTATATATCGTCCAACCAGTGCTATCGGTCTTCTTGTCCCAGCCGCTTGCCTTTTCAAATCGGGAACCGATCTCCCATCATCCGTCCCATTTTCATCCTCTTTTCTCCTCCGTTTCCTCGGCCGACCCCTCGATCTGACAACAGGGGCCTCCATAGTCTGAACTGAACCAAATTTGACGGACTCTTGAGGACCCTTAAAAGTGAGTGTGATTTCAGAAAATTACCACCCAAAGTTCATCCTAGATACAAAGCTAGGGCTTCTTAAGATCCTACAGAATCATCGAGAAAAAATAAATTAAATGTTGTTGATAAAAAAAGAGTCAACACGGAAGTCCAAATACAAACGAGAGAAGACAGCAGTTCGATAATCGAAGATGGATTTCGGAACGATTTTGCTATGTAATATGAAGCAGCAGAGAGGAGTACAGAAAGGGGATAAGAGAGCGCACGTATTCAGAGTCCGAAAACCGCCATTGAAGATGAAACTCCGCCGCTTCAAAGATTAGAGGGAGAAGAACTGGTCGAAATGGCAGGGATAACCCTAGGGGAGAGAAGCAAGATAAAGGTAACCCCATTTCTGTTACCGAGTTGTATTATTATCGTGACGAGTCGTGTTGCCGTTGACACGAAACTCGTGCCCGAGTTATCAGACCCACTCCTCCGAGTTCTCTCTTTGTTTTTTTGTTTTTTTTTTTACCAACACTCCTCCGAGTTCTGGTTCATCAGAGACGGGTAATTTAGTAATTTCAATAATTTTCATTTTACTGTCATGTATTCCTCGGTTCAAAAAATCTAAAGTATCCCTCGGTTTAAATTTAATAATTGAATATTTAAAAATATAAAAATATTTTTAGTATTTTAAAGTGTAATTATTCTTTAAAAAAAATATTTTTAATAAATAAATTATTTTATATTTATTTTAGAGTAAAATACTTCATTAAATAAGAATAAATATGAAAAAATAATGTTACTTAAAAGATAATTAATTAATTTATTAGGAAGTGAGATTCAGTTAAAAATAATTTATTTTTTTAACAAAGGGAATATTATTTTTTCACTTTATAGTAGTAATATAAACGTTCATGTTTTTCGTTGTTAGTGTTTGAAATATAATGCCGGATTAGCTTAACTAGATCATATAATATTAGGTTAAAAAAATGATATTCTTATTATCGTAGCGTGAAAGCACTTGAATTTGATAGATGTATCAAAATTTCATATTAATTAACAATAAATTAATCCATACTTGAGTTAATTAGATTAGATGCTCGATATTTTTTTCAATTTCTAAATTCCAAAGTCAGCAAGTTTAGATATATATATATATATATAATAGAAATTACGACTAATATTCTATTGTCTTCTGGATGAGCTTTTTTTTATAAAAAAAAAAGAGCATGCCCGAAATAATAACGTAAAAAAAAATTTGTAATTTCAAAGTTAATTGAGTAGTTGAGAAAATAAAATCTTTATAGTAGTTTTTTGAGCTAGAAACATGTAACTCCATTACGGGAATGTCTCGGATAATCACTATATGATATATATTATAGATCGGAAATTTTAGAGTTTTAGGAATGGGATATTTATAACTAATTATACATGTAATTAAAAATGTAATTCGATAACAAATGAAAGACGGTTAAATATTTTTAAGATATGGAACAAGTGTTAAAAACAGATCACAACAAGAATAAAATATTTATAACAATTTATGAATATCCCTTGTGTCAACACAACAATATTATTAGAATAAGAAATAAAAAAGTATTATATTACCACAAAGATTCATGGGACTCTTTTCATAATCTTCCTTCTAAAATTCATGCCTATTTTTTCATCAAAAATTGAATCGTGTATAAAATATGGTACATGCACTTTTTGAAAAAAAAAATTAAGCATTTGAAGAACGAAATTATATTTTGTAATGTATATAATTAGTCATGTTTAAAAATATATATCCATTCCATTCAAGAATATAAAGTATTTTTTGAGAAGTTATATATTTAAAAATGTAAAGTATTTTTATCTTTTGATGTGTAATTATTATCTTTTTAAAAATATTTCTAATGATAAATAATTTTATATTTATCATATAGTATTTAATAAAAATAAATATAAAATTATAAATTAATTTAAAAATAAATAATTATTTTATTAAAAAATAAAATTTAATTATAAATATTTTATATTTTTAGATGGAAGGGGAGAAAGTACAAATCAATAATATATATCCGTGGGGGTGGAGACCTTTTTGGCGATGCTCCCATATTTTGACATGAAGATTGACTTTTTTCTATTGCTATGACGCGTGAGCGGGTAAAGTTAAATAGAAATGAGAGGATGACTTGGGGGAAGGCGGGATGACGAGTTGAAGCGGGGGGGAATGGGCGAGTCAACCCAGTCCGTGTTTGGCTTTCGGGACATGGCATGGCAGTGGAGGTTTTTATGTGGGAATTAATTGGCTTCCAAAAGTTGAAACGGAAATCAAAAGGGTGAATTAGGGGGAACTTTGGCGGGAACAATCATTGGCCTGAGGGAATTTCCCGCTAATTTTCCCCCGAAAAAAATAAAAAAGAGTTTTTTTATTGCAGCTTGCAACGGTCATGCAAATCCACACGTAGCCCGCGGGTTGGGGACAATTGTTAGTTGTACGTCTTCGGAGTATTGCCTTGGCCCCGTGCTCTAATTTTTCTCTATTGAATTATTTATTTTTAAAAAAAATGACTTGTATAGATGGAATTTTTATTTAGCGGTGGACCACTTCTTTCATTTTTTTGTCAATGGGTATTTTGCATCAAAAATGAGCGTTGAAAATCTTCGTTGAACAAAACATTTATAATATCCCCGCATTTCAATTTATCAGTCCACTTGTCCTTCGTCATCTTGGTGCAACCATGATGTGTGACCAGCACGTCTGAGGCAGGAGTGAGGCATGGATTGAATTAGAAGAAGTGTGTGGGGGTGTGAAGATGTTCATGCTTGTCAATTGTGGTCATGGACACATGGACGCGAGGCGAGATGGGATATTCGTTTTGTCGAGCTTGGTGTTTCCATTTAGCATGCTTGCATGTATTTGGATATAAGATGCTGAATGCTTCCTTCCATTGGGGTTATGGATTTGCTTCAAAATAATGTATGCCTGTGCCAATGTAGTCTGTACCGTGAAACTTGCGGCAGTTCGAATGCTTTTCATGAGGGGCAAAAAGGTGAACCTCAAAGGTTATTGTGTTTTATCGTTTAGTCGCATAATTTACTTGTTATGTGTTGGTAGCACAAAATAATTTTACATTTGAATCATGTTGATACTATCATTAAAAACTATTTCATCATATTGAATTAATTGAACAGCAATTCTTCACTCTTTTTACGTTAGTTGAGGGTATAGAACAAAAAAAAAAACTAATGGAAATAAATTCAAAACACAACAATAGCAAAGATTCAAAGGCCAATGCACATCATTTTGTCTACATGCAAGCCTTTTATATTGGTTGTGGTTTGAACATGAATGTTGGGCATTTGAGATATCTTGTAAGAGGCAAGTTAGTTATTTTTAACTATAATTACTTTGTACTGTTTGTTTCGTGTATGTGAACCCAATTGTTCTCTAAATCCGTTTATTAGCTTACTTTTCACTCCTTAATACTTGTACCATGGAGTTTCTCTTGTGCGAGCAATATATAACTTATTATTTCAACACACCATTCAGTTATTACAACATTGTATATATAACATATAATACATAATGTCCGTATATATAAAGTGTTAATGTAAAATATAAAATGTTAAGCAAAACTCATTTTAAATCTAACATTGGTACAATTGGTGCATGCGGCGATGTAAAATATGTGTGGCTTAATTTAAGGCACGAGTCTAAGAAATAACAAATTATGTGTGATCATTAAAATTGATAAAATTTGTTAAAAAATTTAGTGCATCATGGTCATGGTTAACTGTAAAAATTAATAAATTATAATCTTCACTACCTTATTATAAAAGAAAAAAGAGTCTTTACCTGACTATTGGAATCTTAGATTAATTGCTTAAATTATATATTTTCTTTAAAAAATAAAAAAGCCTTTATTGTTAGATTTTTGTCATTTTTTATTTGTAAAATATCTCAAAGCAATTTTGAAAATATATGTTAATTTTGGTTTTTAAAGTTTAGACCCAGTATTTTTCTAAAAAATTGAGCCTCCAATATTTTTTAAGTGCGTTGAAAAGATGAAAATTAAAATTAACCAAAAAGTTGAGAAAAAAAAATCAAGGAGCTCGAAATAATTAGAGAAAATTAGTATAGTGGCCATAAAATATATAGGCTTCAAAAATTCTAAACAGAGTTTACAAAAATTTGGAGTGCAGCCCTTCACAAATTTAGTTAGAATGTGATATTCCTTCTTTGCCCAACAAAAACTTTCCTCAGCAAATATCTAAGCTTTTCAACACGATGTATCCGAAATAGAGGAAACAAAATATCCTACATAATTGGTCCATGATTCATAATTCCTTATCATATGCAAGTGACAATTTAAAACAACATATAATTTTTTTTAAATAACAATAACATTTCAAAGAAATTTTTGAGAATTTCATATCGCCGAAAATCATTGCTTATTATCTAGTTAGAGTTGGCTTGGCTTCTTGTTTTTGACAATGGAAGATCGGAGTAAGATTTATTATCAATCATTATATTTTCACTATCTTTACATCTCTTGATAACATCTTCACAAAATTATTGTTAATTTATTTATAATGTGTGATTCGTTGTTATTGATAATGTAATTTGTTTGAATTATTAACAACAAAACACATATTATTTTCTCATTGTTTTATAATTTTTTATTTTATTATCTTAGATATTTAATATTTTGTGATAAGTTAAGTTGTCCATAATTTTTTATGGACTGTGCTTGATCTATTTTGGAAATCTAGTTATGATGGGGTTGTTTGAAACTATTTTTATTTTATTATTTTGAGAACTAGTATTTTGTAAAACATATTCTGCGAATAAAAAAATAAAAAAATAGATATTTTTCTCATTCTCTCTTATTTTTCAGAACAATAATTCCAAAACACCTGAAAGTTGTTTTCATTTTTCTATTCTTTAGAACAATATTTTTTTATTCTCTAAAACACATTTTGAAAACACTTTATCAAATAAGTTTTTTGTTCTTTTGTTTTGGAGAACAGAAAACTGTTCCCAAAATATGTTGCCAAACAGGCCTGATATTTTTGTGTTTTTGATTTACGACAGTATATTAGTAATATAATACTATATATCACTGATAGACCATATCAATTATAACTTACCAACACTATCCCAATATCTACAAGATGAAATGGCATTAGTAAGTTTTCACTTATATGGGTTATATATCAGTGATATACAACTTACATATTATCATAGAACAACATAACCAGATAATTAGATATAAATTTGTTTATCATTGACATACAGTCGTGTGTCAATGATATAATATAGTAAATCGGTAATATAAAAAATACATAATCATTTATCCAAAACGGATCAACACACCGTTCATGAGAAATTCTAGACTCTTAGCTTATCATAGAGAATTAAATACCTAAACTAACAAAATAAAAAATTATCCATTTACTCTGTTCTATTGAGTATTGTTGATGTCTCTTATCACGCATTTATTTCTCATTGTCGTGACAGTGACTCACTCACATTGCTTTGCTTTCTTTGTCTTTCTTGCGTCGAGTTCCATCTTCTTTCTCACGTTTATTTCCCTTGTCCACCTGATTTCTCACACTATGAGTTCCTTCTATTAGTTGCAGAAAGCAGATATTAAAAAAGGTAATTTTATAAATTAAATATCAATTAAATATTAAAGAGGTCATTTTTAAAATTTTAAAAAAAGCATGCTATTTTTTATTTAATTTTATGATATGGCCTTGTATAATTATATGATTTTTTTTTCCCCCTAAGGCACATTCAGGCTCCCGATTCGAATTGAACCGGGCCCAAATAAAATGTCCCGTCGGTTCCAGTACAGGTGCCAAACCAAACGGGGCGTTTCACAATCAGGCATCAGCGGCTCACTGGAGATGGCGGGAAGCAGGAAGGCATGAAACGAATGCGTCTCCCTCCCGCCATTTACTGAGCTAGCCTCGTCTCTCTTTTTGATGCATTTATCAATTTGAAAACCTCGTCAATTCGCTCAAACTCCATTCTCCACAGGCCTCAATACTCCTGGTTTTCTCATACTTAGCTTCGATTCTTGGCAGTTGGCACCTCTCAATCACTTGGAACGCTTAGAATCAGGTTAGGGTTAGGGCTCTGCAACATGAAGAACCATAAGGTTGCAGACCAACACTTATCTACTGTTCGGTCCATCGTTGGCGCCGAATATACTGACATGGATATCATCAGAGCCCTGCACTTGGCCAACAATGACATCACCGCCGCCATTAATATTATTTTTGATACCCCCAACTTCAAATTGAAAGAGAGGTTAAGTGTGGGCACTCAGAGGAATTCACAGGTTTTGCATCGAAATTCATGCTCTGATGCTGGAACTGGAGGTGGAAGTGTCATGGCGAAGTCCAAGCCAACTGCTGCAGAGGACAATAATCACTCTCTGGGGTTGGAAGCAAATGTTGCCGACTCGGTTTCTAACTCAGGTGATTGTGGCGTCGAGGACGTGGAAGGGCATTCAAGTTCAGCGGCAAGTGATTGGTGGTTCGTGGGTTGTGGGGAAATGGCGGGGCTTTCGACCTGTAAAGGGAGGACTTTGAATCCTGGTGATCAAGTGTTGTTCAACTTTCCGCTGAAGACAGGGTCAACTACGCCGTCCCCGGGTAAGGGTTTTGGACGGGGACGGCAGGCAGCAGCAACTTGTTCGGAGATAGTGCGATTCTATACCAAAGAAACGGGAGAGGTGATCTACGAGACAGTAAATGGATAAGTTTTTAATATTGTAAATACAGTTTCTAAATTGACTGTGTTTTGGCAGATTGGTAGAATACCGAATGAATGGGCTAGGTGTCTCTTGCCCCTTCTACGGGATAAGAAAGTGAGGATTGATGGCCATTGTAAACATGCTCCTAATAATTTGAGCATCATGGACACCGTTCTTTTGTCAATCAGGTACGTTCGATAATTGGGGAAAAAAACCCTTTGTAAGCACGCAGTTACTGTATATGATTGTAAATAATTACTAGCTCTTGTTTTTGGTTTCAGAGTATTCATCAATAGTTCAATGTTTCGTAAACATCACCAGGTTTCTCTTAAGGTCACCGCAAATACCACTGATGAATCAGTCTTTCATCCTCTTCCAACCTTGTTTAGGTTGCTAGGCTTGAGCCCTTTCAAAAAGGTGATTCGTAATCCTATGCTATCTGAATATTTTATCAAGGTTCTTTTGCATGGACATGACTCATGTATAAGGATCGTGTCAGCTTCAAGATCATAAAAAGTAATATATGAGCACAGATAAAGTTATACTGAATCTTGACTTATACTATTACTTGATTTTTAGGCAGAGTTCACTCCTGGTGACTTGTACTCAAAGAAGCGCCCTTTCAATCAAAAGGTGAAAACCTATTCGAACCTGTTTTATGGCTTTGTCTGCCAACATTTCAGCATGTTACTTTTCTTTCACAGGAGAACTCTTCTCTTCAGGCGACATTACTGCACATCAAGTCCAAGTGTCCTTCTGTAAATGATAATGAGGTAGACAATGAGGATTCAATATCTGAAACTGACCTTGACAAGATTGTTGGTGTTGGAACTTGCTCGGAGCTAGAGGTACTTCATTCTAAGAGTATTATCTGCTGTTTTTCCTTCATTGTGATTATAGGAAACTAGATTGTGTGGTCACCTGAATGTATTGGTCAGGAAATGGATCCCCCTGGTAATCTTCTGTGTGAATTGCGGCCGTATCAAAAGCAAGCTCTTCATTGGATGATGCAGCTGGAGAGGGGACTGCCTATCGATGAGGCAGCTTCAACCCTTCATCCATGTTGGGAGGCATATCACCTGGCAGATGAGTATGCCTATGGTCATGTTGACTAATCTATGTTTGTGAGTGCATGTAGGTGTGTGTGTAATTCACTAATTGCCTCTCATGGATTCTTTGTGATCATACTTTGTAGGAGGGAGCTGGTTATTTATTTGAATGTTTTTTCTGGTGAAGCTACAATAGAATTTCCAAGCACACTTCAGATGGCTAGAGGAGGAGTATGTTTGTTGTTTAGTTAATTATGGAGAATGGATCATCTGAAGTTGAAACCAATTTATTTCTCCAAAGTTTACCTTTTTTTTTGAGCATTTTCATCATTTCATTATAATTTTTTTTTATAAAACATAAATCTTCTTTCCCTCTCTCTTAAAAAGGCAAAATTCAGCAAATTTATGGATCCTCAACTTTAGAGGATCCATTTCCGGGACTTAATTGTGACTTTCACATATTTGCTCAACTTTTGCTACATATTGATTTTATTGTAATTTCGAAGATTTTGGCAGATGCTATGGGGCTCGGGAAGACCATTATGACCATAGCCCTCCTCCTTGCCCATTCAAGCACTGGTGGTTCATCAAGTAGTCAACTCATGGATCAGCCCTTGTCCGAAAGTGGTGGAGTTAATGACACGGCACGAAACTCTTCAAAGGTACCTAAGAAGGCAAACAAGTTTTCTGGTTTTGATAAACTGAGGAAGCAAAAGAATACTCGAACAAATGGTGGCAGTCTGATAATATGTCCCATGACGCTTCTAGGACAGTGGAAGGTAGTCTGTAATTAAATTGTCAATTTTTAGTTTTTTTTTTTGACTGACTTATTATGTAGCTTGTCATTGCATCTTTTGGGTTGAATATTGGTTCCTTGCAGTAGTTGGCTTTAATATGTGGAATAATATGCTTTTATTACCATTCTGAAAATTTAATTATGTGTTCAGGCAGAAATTGAGACTCACGTGCAGCCTGGATCTCTGTCTTTATATGTTCATTATGGACAGAGTAGACCAAAAGATGCAAGAATTCTAGCTCAGAGTGATGTTGTAATTACTACATATGGAGTTGTAGCCTCTGAGTTTTCCAGTGAGGTAGATGAAAACATGTTTATTATAAAAGTTGTCAGCCTCTTTTTACCACTGTCTCTAAAGCTCTGTCCAATGCATATTTATATTTGTCTTATCTGTAGAATGCAGAGGATAATGGTGGACTTTTCTCAATTCGATGGTTTAGGGTGGTTCTAGATGAGGCACATACCATAAAATCTTCCAAAAGCCAAATATCTATGGCTGCTTCAGCCTTAGTTGCTGACAGACGTTGGTGTCTTACTGGCACTCCTATCCAGGTGAGATATCCTAATTTTGGTGCTAAAGTTTTTTGTGGTATCTGCTTAAATTTACTAATTAGTTTACCAGGAATGAGCAATCTTAATCTAGTTTCAAACTTTTACTTTTCATCCAGTCTTTTTATTCGTTATTCAATTGTTTTATGTCACAAGGAATGTGAAGAGATCTACATTATCTTTATTAGCATGTATTTGTGTAGGCACTGTAAAATTTTATATATGCATAACTATTCCTTATTCGAAATCCAATTTGGTGGATGATCTCCACTGATTTGATATATTGAGCCTTTAATGGGGACAATACTGCAATTTATGTTGTCATTGTGGAAGGGAGCTGGAATTCCTTGACTGCCATGTGATGCAGAGATGTAACATACTAAAAGTGTTAGGTTGGTGCTAGAGATAGACTTATGGATCTTGAAATTTGAATCAAATATTGAATAATCTGCTGGGCTCCATTTTTTTTGTTTGATTAAAATATGCTATAATTCTTATATTAAAAATCTTTTTATAATGACATTTCACAGAAGTTTGTACCTACATGCTTTGGGTTGCAGTTAGTTTCCCATCTATCTGGGTTGCACACTTGCATGTTTTTAAATGTTCACGAGTCATCTTAGTTTTTCATGCATAGACAAGTTTGCATTGTAATGATGTTCATATGTTGTTAGCAACATTTATCTTTTGCATACTTCTACACTCTTCCTTGGAGGCTTGGAGTCATATACGTGCTTCTGTCTCAAATATTAGCTGGCATAATTATTGGCTTGGTTTTGACTGCAGATGTAGTCTTTTTACTTCCTGACATGTTATTTTTCTATCGCAGAACAACCTTGAGGATATCTACAGTCTTCTTCGATTTCTGAGAATAGAGCCTTGGGGTCATTGGGCCTGGTGAATTGCCTTTTCTTAATGTTATACATATGCATTTTATCTAAGATAATTCTTTTCCTGTTCTTCCCTATTTGTCAATAAATTTGTGTTATTTTCTTACAACCTGTGAAGCTTGTTTTAGAATGGATTTGAATGCAGATAAGCTTTAGCTGATATATTGATTTCCTATGTCTAGGCATATAAAGTATTATACATTCTAGGGAAAATGATCTGAAGTAGTTTTCAAGGGTTTCGTTTTTAGGATTGAAGCAATGATGACAAGGACTTAATACTTATCCATCAATGTCTCAGGCTTAAACTTTGGGAAAACTTGTCTATGGAAGGCAAGTAATCTGTAATATGACTCTGTTTGAAGTTTTCTGTTTAAACTTATCTTGGTTAGTTATGCTGGCACTGGCATCTATGATGAACACCACAAATTGAAGCTTTATGATTAAATAAAGTCTTGAGGTATTATGCATCTTGGTTAAATTTTCTGTAAAGTAGCTGAGGAACCTACACCTGAAATTAAACAATCTGTCTTGGTTTTTCATCACTCTAAGTGAACATTGCTAATTCATCATCTAATTTGAAGCACTTATTAATTGGGAAATAATCTTACAAGATTAAGTTACTTTTCCTTGGTGAACTTTGATTGTTATTTTAAGTTGGGTAGTTGGTTGGAATGCTGGACTGGGAGGATTTATTTTATATTATTCAGGTGGAACAAACTTGTTCAGAAACCATTTGAGGAGGGTGATGAGAGAGGGCTAAAGTTGGTTCAATCCATCTTGAAGCCAATCATGTTGAGGAGAACCAAGCATAGCATGGACCGAGACGGCAAGTCAGTATACTGGTCAAGCCATTAGTGCTATTTTTGTATCTGCATCGTATAACTTGCTATTTTTCGCAGGCCTATTATTGTTCTTCCTCCAGCCGAAGTGCAGATAGTTTATTGTGAACTCACTGAAGCTGAAAAGGACTTTTATGAGGCACTATTCAAAAGATCTAAGGTGCTTATTATCATCAACTGTGTAATTACTATTTTTACCTTCTTTTTTTTTCGGTACACTCAAGGAATTTATTGATCAAGATTTACTGGTGGATAGTATATCGAAAGAGTTGGTTGTGATTAGAGTACAATGACATTGTGTGATCCATAAGCTGACCACAATTAGTAGGATAAGTCTTGTTATATGAAAAATGACTTATATCCAACATGATGTAGGTCAAATTCGATCAGTTTGTTGATCAAGGGCGTGTTCTTCATAATTATGCTTCTATATTGGAGTTGCTCTTACGTCTTCGGCAATGCTGTGATCATCCATTTCTTGTAATGAGGTATTGTGCCAACCTTTTTGTTTATGCACTTGACAGTGTTAATGTCTATGGTATAATGTGTCAGACCGGCCCATGGCTTAAATTTAGATGTCTGATATGTGGTAGCATATCTGCTCTATGTATCTGCTTGTAGCACTTGAGTTCAGATTGAATAAGAGTAATCAGTTCAGATCCGGATATTAGCAGATGGTTGTAACTTGTAATAGACTTCTGCAGCTAGTACAATTAAGAGCTAGCACAGGCTGAGTTAAGGATTATTATGTTTATGCTTTCAGTGATCTTCTCTGTTGAATATATTTTTTTCTTGGCCTGATGAATATATAGCTTTTCTTTATTTCTGAAGAATTGTAGTTATTAAATCTCGAGATCTATGTGCGTGAATATGATTATGTTCATTTGATATCAAACAAGCTTTTCATTTTTAACCTTCACTTATTTTTATGACCATTTCTGATTAACCTAGCCGAGGTGACACTCAAGAATATTCCGACCTAAACAAGCTAGCTAAACATTTCCTCAAAGGAAGCCATAATGCTTCAGAAGGGGAAGCCAAAGGTGCACCTTCACGGGCTTATGTTCAAGAAGTTGTGGAAGAGCTACGCAAAGGGGAACAGGGAGAGTGTCCAATATGTCTGGAAGCATTTGAAGACGCAGTGTTGACCCCTTGTGCTCACCGCTTATGCCGGGAATGCCTCTTGGCTAGTTGGAGGAATTCTAATTCTGGTTTATGCCCTGTTTGTAGGTATAATACTATTATCAATTAAAACTTTCATGACCTGGATCTCTTTTGTTTAAACTTTTGTACGGTAAATTTTAAGGTTTGTTCCAATTACAGTAATTTTCAAATGAATCTTGGGTATAGTGCAAACTCAAAAAGTATCGTTTATGCCACAGAAAAACAATAAGCAGGCAAGACCTTTTAACTGCCCCCAGGGAAAGTCGGTTTCAGATTGATATTGAGAAGAACTGGGTGGAGTCATGCAAGGTAACTGCCCTTTTGCGTGAACTTGAAAATCTTCGCCCTTCAAGCTCTAAGAGCATTGTTTTCAGCCAGTGGACTGCTTTTCTAGACCTCTTGCAGATTCCCTTTACGAGGTAATAGTCTTTGCTTGTTGAATCATGCTGTAGGAAATGTGTTTTTGGTGCCAAAAAAATCTGACTTAATGTGCACTATTCAAAAGCTATATTCTCCAATTCAGGACATGCTCATATAATGATTTGTACTGTAGTAATTATCTTTTCAGTTGATGCCAACTTCGTGGATTACTGTGGTCTATTTAAGATCTTCAGGAATGTTTCTGTTTTTCCTTATTCAACGTGCTTTAGTGTTTTATGCCATTATGCTTTTTTAATCTTTTTCTGCCCCTGACATTCCCAAATGACCAGACTGGGCTTTATTTACTTTTTGATGATGTGCAATGATTCCTGGGAAGTATTTATAATGATACATACATGGTAACATCAAAAAGATTTTAAGTGTCGGCATGTGATTTTAAGTATCATCTCATGTCTAATATGAATATCTAACATGCACCAGGCGTAGACACAACTCATTTCTTCTTGTGTCCGTGCTTCATCTAACATGCACCAGACATAGACACAACTCATTTCTTGTTGTGTCCATGCTTCATATAATGATACCAAAGAGGTGGAAATTTCATTTGTGTCCAGGAATAACATTCCATTTGTTCGTCTTGATGGGACCTTGAATCAGCAGCAGCGTGAAAAAGTACTTAGACAATTCTCAGAAGACAGCAATATCCTGGTTGTTGACTTGTACCCCCCCTAATTTTCTTGTGGTCTGTGACCTAGAGATTTAAATGGAATAGCTGCTTATATCTATTGAAACTTAACTCCTTGTCAGGTGTTGTTGATGTCCCTAAAAGCAGGTGGAGTGGGTATAAATCTAACTGCAGCTTCAAATGCTTTTGTCATGGTATGTGCAAAATAGTTCCTGTTGCATAAACTGTGGTATTTATCTAGCCACAACCGTGTCTCTAAAAATTTGACAATAATAAACAAATTTTTGAGTTTTGATTCTACATCTTGAGATCTTATTGTTCTTATACTGCCAGCATTGAGTGTAGACAAGACTAATGACTGTTTTGGTAAACCTGACATGAAGTAATTTGCTGATATTTTAATGGTTTGTAGATTTATGCATTAATTGGCTGTTAATACTTATAATTAAAATAAATTTGAATTTTACAACCTGAGGCTCGGTTGTTGGTTAGATGGGAGTTTGGATAAGGGACTGCAACTTTGAGCTGCGATATTAGAAATATTGAACTCTACGCAGCACAGGGAGTAAGTAATAGCACGTAAATAAGATCTGGAAGTTGGGACCAGAATGGTATATGAATAAGTCTTTGGACTGTGCTGATATTATTGTTATAATTAAATTTTTTGCTTTAATATGGATTATATGCCTTTATGAATGTTTGAACAGGATCCGTGGTGGAATCCAGCTGTGGAGGACCAAGCTGTCATGCGAATCCATCGCATTGGACAAACAAAGAATGTGACCATCAAACGGTTTATTGTGAAGGTGCATTCAATATCCCAATTTTGGATATTATGTGGTTTTAGTATTGTTCATTTTTTTCACTCGGTTGGAGCACAGGGAAAAATTAACCTGCTTGTAAATTAGCGAGGCACTAATCGCAATATACTGCTATGGCTAGACTCAGACACAGTTCCTTGTACCTTTGTTGTTAAATTTTGCAATCAATACACTTCCAAAGCAAAAAAATGTTCTCCGATCAAGATATAACCTCTAAAATACTTTTTGAGAAATAGGTAATGTTGACCTGTGAAACCATGCACTTGTATGCCGAACTCATATGCCCGCCATGTTATCCTTGCGGAGAATTTGATTGCAAAGAGATTAATTGTAAGTTTTATCTGTACTATTGACTGAGTTGGACCTCCCCTTCTGCATCAGATTAACTGCATGATTCCTAGTCCACTTATTCATTTGAAAATGAAATGATAAAATTTAACCGAGGTGGGCTGGTGTTGCTTTGTGAATTTGAGACTCATGGTTTCCAGGTCTTGGCGTTATTACCATTTGGATTTGGATCCATCCACGTGACTCTGTGTCTGGGATGAATTGCCAATAAGATTGTTCAAACACACCAAATTGACTGTGGCACTTGCTTGTATATTTTAAATTGCAGGGGACAGTTGAGGAGAGAATGGAAGCAGTGCAAGCTCGCAAACAGCGAATGATTTCTGGTGCCTTGACTGATCAAGAAGTTCGAACCGCACGGATTGAGGAGTTGAAGATGCTTTTTACTTAGATTGATAAAGCAGTCGCAACCATCTTTGTTGGTCAACAGGAGCATTGTGCACCTTTGCCATTTTGCAGTTGGTATTTTACTCGTGATCTCTAGGGATTGCAAGAGCAAGATAGCTGTGACCTGAAGCATGGAAGTGCATCTGAGGGTGAAGTTTTCTTTTCTTAGATTGGTTGTATTCGGACATCAAGTCTAAGTGGATGTCTATATTCATGACTTTCATGCACGAATCAGACTATTTTGAGGTGGATGTGCACTCGATGAAGGAATACAAAGGAAGGGGTTGGTTCAAGGTGGATGAAATTTTTAACGTCTAATTTGGGCCAATTAACATCGATGAGGCAATTCTTCCGGAGTGATGAATTTGTTGTTGTACATAGATTGAGTCATCATGAGACCCCCTCTGTATTTTACATGTAATGATCCCTCTTAATATCTATCAAATTACTTGTTCCTTTTTTTTCCCCCGGTATGATTGCGAAATTTGCTCTCATTTTATGACACTACATTTTAACATTGTATTGCATGATGCGTCGATTCATGCGAAGGTATCTCTGTTATTTTAAAGAGCAAAAATAATTTTTTAAGAGTATTTTACCCAAAGAAACAGTGCCCTGGCTCCTTTTTAGCACTGATCGACCGTCGGATTTTTTTTCATATTTATTTCTAATATTAAAATTGGGACCTCTATTGTATATATAAAAAAAAAAAATTGGGACCTCCAGCCATCAACATGACGGTTGATCAGAACAACGGGTTCTCTTTAAGAGAATTACGGCTAGTTTGGTTTGATTGAAACTAGAGTCAGAACAGGTAAAAAGAAAAGGCATTTTCCTAAATTTAGATGGCATAATTTTCAATTCTTGGAAACCTAATTCAGTAGTGTAACATGGGTTCCAAGCAAGACCCTATAAAAAATAATATCTTTCCTGAAAATATTTTTTTTCCTCTCTAATTTGCCCTTAAGAAAATTATGACAAATAATTTGCTGTTGAGGTATATTATTTTTCTAAGGAAAGCACTACTTTTAATTCTTGCTTTTTATTTGTCTTTTGGTATAGATTCCTACACTTTATTTTTAATATTTTAAGTCTCTATACTTTCTTTCATTTGCAACATTAGTCACTATATCTTCAAAAGGATGTTGATGTGACATAAACGGTATTAATAATGTTAATATGTCAATTAACACCTTTAATTCTGTACTTGCGTATCAAAATGATGCTGACATGAAATTATTTAGTAGGTAAAAATTTTAAAAAAAGCCTACATCAAATGAAATAAAAAGGTTGACATGGACTTTTTAAATGATAAAGAAAATGCACAAATTCAATGTAGGTTTTTTTTAATTGCTTATTAAAAATTTCATGTCAGCATCATTTTGACACATGAGCACAAAATTAATGATGTTAATTAACATATTAGGATTATTAACACTATTTGTGCCACATTAACGTTCCTCTAAAAATGTAAGAATCAAAATTACTAACCAAGGAAAGTATAGAGATCTAAGACACTGAAAAAAAGTACAAAGACCTATACCAAAACCTGAGCAAAATATAGGAACTAAAGTTAGGGTTTTTCCTTTTTTTAAAATTTAAGTTATGATGGGTAATTTTGAGTTAGGGCTTTTATAGATACAACCCATATTATAGAAACAAACTAAATAAATAGTCCAATATTTATTAAATTTTGCATTAGGTTTGATTTATTATATTTGTCAATAATATATCATTGTATGTCAATGATAAACCTCTTACAAATTTTAATGATAAACTCTTTATATATTAATGATAAACCCCTTATATATCAATGTAAACTGGTTATACTTTAAATTTTAAAAAATTTTGGTCCATATTTTTTGGGCACAATATTTTTTTGGGCTAATGAGCTAATTTATCCTTTTAAGTTTACATAATTTTCATGAGGGCAAATTAGGAAGGAAAAATATTTCCAAGAAAAATATTATTTCTGTAACATCTTGGAGAATTTTTGTAACATCCTGAAAAATATTATTTTTGCAACATCCTAATTAGTTGAATAAATAAGTTAATTAAATAAATTTGTGTGGTATGTAGTTATAAAGAGCTAATAGGTGCTATGGGTTGTGATTTCAGCTCTAGAATTAAGCCTAAAGTGAGGTTGGACTACTTAAGTATAAAAAAAAATAAGAAAAACAATGAGAAATGACTTTGTGTTATATGTCGCAATGCATAGGCCAATTAGAGCATGGAGACTCTTTTCTATATCACATGCCACGACGCATGGTACATGTGCCATGGCACGGTGACAAATATGCAAAAATAAAATTGCGAAACTGATATAAAATAAAATAGAAACGAAAAGGGAAACAAAGGGAACATAAGATACAAAATAGAAGAGAAACAAAAAGTGAAATGAAGGGAATGCAAGGAGCTTTACTAGGGCTTGAGGTTTGAAAGCATTAAAAGTATTTTGAAGCTTCGAAACGCCAAATGTAAGTTTCATAAGCTTAAAACTCTCTTTCTCTTGCATTTTCTTAATGTTGAGAGCTAGGGTTTAGTTAAGAAAGTTGATTTTCGATCTATAGAAGCTATAAGTCCAAACTCATTAATTTAAATAAAGTCAGTGAAAGTTATTTAGGTTATTTAAACTTAGTATTTATGGCTCTATGTATTTTTGGTAGTTAAAAACCATAAATGCACGAAAATTATTTATAAATGAGATAAATAGAGAAATGTGGCTCCATTAATTGTTGTTTAGAAGTTCAATGAGGTTAATAGGAGTTAAAGAAAGCTAAGAACCCTACGGTTACTTTTGTATGTGAAGGGATTGAATCTTAAAAGAAAACATGTTAAATTAGATAATGAAAATGATCTAAAAATGAGCATTGATGATTAACATTGTGGTTAAATGTAAAGTGATCACATTTGGTACCTTTTAAGCTTTGTAAAGCTTTGGAAGTGTAAATTTGAGGAGTAAAATTTTTAACCTCTTAGAAGTTTAAGGTAATCGGGAGAATTTTTTCTTGTGCTTTTGTGTGTTACTTAATTTATTAATTTATACTTGATAATTAAAGTACATGAAATTAAATAAAATGTAAGTGTAACATGAATTACTTGAAAATCCACTATAATGATTTTGTAAAGTTAAGTGATGTGTTTCCTTGAAATTCAATGATGTGATTTGTTAATAGAGTTCAATGATTTTATGTTCAGTGGAGTTCAATGACTTGGTGTGTGAAAAGTTCAATGAAATAGTGTTTTATGAAGTTTTATAGTGTATTGTTTGTAGAGTTCAATAAATATGTGTAGTATAACATCCCAATTTAAATTTTAATAATTAATTTGGGTTAATAGAAATTTTAAAAAATATTTAGAGGTAAATAAATTAGTAGAAAATGATCATTAAATCTAACTTAGGATATAATTCTAAATTAAAAAAATTTTTTAATTTTTTTTAAAAAATTATTATTAATTAATTAATTAAAAAATATTATTAAATTATTATTAAAAAAAAAAGGTATGCAAAAAAAAAAAGAAGAGCAGAAGAAAAAGAGAAGTTTGCTTTCGGCCGCTGCATCAATAGTTATATTAAATAATAAAAAAAGAGAGAAGAAGAGAGAGGAAAGAAGAAATAATAAAAAAAAGGTGTGAGACCCACTGAATTTTTATAAAAACTCACCTGTTCCTTATTTCTTCATTCCTTCTTTCGTGTGTGAGCTGAGGCAGAGAGAGCATCTGTGAGCTCACCGGTGCTGGGTTTTAAGGTAAGAGTTTTTAATAGGATATTTAGGGTGCGATTTTTAGCTTTTTAAGACTAAGTAAGTGTTCTAAAAAATTTTCTTAATCATCCTTCTTCTTTGGTTTCTGAGTTTGTAGTGGTAGAAAATTTAAGATCTGGAAGAGGGATGAATTTATGTTGAATAAATATGGTTTTTGAGATTGTCAGTAGTATAATAAATGTTATAGAGTATAAATTTATTGATGATCTTTGAATTTGTGGCTTATGGATCAAATTCTAAACTAGATCTGAAAATATATGTTAATTTATTGAGGTATAGATGATTATTTGGGATGAGAAATGAATTATTATGGTTATAGGATTATGATTCTAAGCTAGAGACTCAATTTTTAATTTTTGAGTATTTTAGGTACGAATTTATGAAATAAAAAAAAGAAAATTTTGATAATAGAAATTAGTTTAGAAGTTGATTTTTAGATTATTAATGTGTATTGATAATTAAAAGAGGAGTTAAAAATTTTACTTAATAGTATTAACTATAGATTTGTATTAAGATTGAGATTAGGAATTATGTTATATTTTTAATTCTATTATTAGAATTATTTTATTAGTTTCAAAAATTGAAACTAATATTTATAAATAATATGTTATTTGTAGATTGTATTACTGGTGAAGATTGTGGTGAGAGAGAAATTTTAAGGAATAATTTATTGAAAAAGCCACAAGGTAACCATGCTTTTAATTTGTGATTAGTGTTACTTCATGTTAATTGGGTGATTATTGAGAAAATTATGAATTTTGTAATATTGTATAATTGTGCAATATTATTATGAATTTGTTTGATTATTGTGGGAGGTGTTGGGAGACTTGCTATTGTTGTTGTATTTATATGCCACATGGTACGCCCCTATTAGAGCTCAATAGGTGGCTTGTAAGAGCTCGGGCTAATCTATCTTTGGCCAGGTAATTTAGCACCGAGTGAGGGCTACGGCTCGAGGTTAATAGAGGGATATAAGGATGGTTGTTTGTGTGTATTGTAATATTTCATATATTTGTTGGAATTATATTATTTTTAATTCTCACTTATTAAGCACACACTTAACTATTTGTATACACTATCATAAATTGGCCTTGGTTACTGGGACTTTTGAGTCTCATTATGTGGTCAACAATTTTCAGGAGAAGAGCCACGAGTGACACGTGGAAGAGTCCCAAAGGCTTAGTGGTATAGATCCACTGTCTCTTTTGGATATTTAATTTATGATTTATAATGTGTTATATTGCCAATATTAGGGCTTTTTGTTTATTGTCAATTATATAAACATATAAATGTAATCATGCCTTTCAAACTATTTCTATTTTTGGTACAATTTGGATGACTGTAATTTTAATATTTGGTTTACTTTGGATTGGTTAAAATGGCATGATTATAAGGCCAAATAACTGGCTTGTGTTAAAAATTTATTAAATTGCTTATTTTACTTGTTGGGAGTATAAGGATGGACAAATGTGATTTAGCCTAATGGCATGTGGGAGGTAAAAATTTATTTGAAATGTTATAGTGTGTGAGTTGAAGCCAATTATAAAATATTTTATATTGAAATTATTGATATAAAAATGTGTTGGGTGGCTGTAACCCAACTATGGTTGAGTTAAATTATTTAAAAAAAAAATTTTGGTGTGTTACATGTAGTGAGAAGTTTGACGATATAAAGTAAAGAGGAATTCAATGACTTAGTTATATGTGTCCACGTGGTGTTCATGTATGAGTTGAGTACAATAATGGTATTATTCATGCCTGTATTTTGAGTAAATGCATGCTCTAAAACATTGCATTATTATGCATCGCATGATCAAGATGGTTTGCTTGGATTTGTTTACATTTATCATCTCACTTGTTCGATAAGGAACTATTCCACTTGTTTAACAAGGAAGTTAGTTTAGGGAGAATGACAGCCCACAATGTAAGAGATGAAAAAAACTGTGAGCCACAAATGAGATAGGCAACCTTGGCTAGGTAGCCCTTCATGCGCAAATGGCTAAGGTAGTCTTAGTTCATAGATGATCCTAGTGTGTTATAGCCTACAGTTTCATATCAAAAGCATAAGGAAGATATGATCATATATATAGAAAATAAAAGGGCATATGGTTATTTGTATTGTGACTCTAGTGATAAAAATCATGTGATTAGTCTTATATTCATGTAAAATTGTATTACTAAGTCATTATCTTGTGGGTAAATGTTACAATGAATGAAAAATGTGAATAGTAGTCTTGAACATGTTAATTGATTTGAGAATGATATCCTTATCACTTGTATTTAAATTGATTGATGTGTATATAAGTTAGATAAACATTAGTTGCTGAGTGATTGTACGTACTCTTTTCTTTTCAATATGACAAGAGCTAGCTCTTTGGGTTAAAACTAAGGGAAACAATATGAGGTTTAGGATTTTATCCTAACACCTGTAGGCCTCATCTATTTTAGTTATTATTATGTGTATAATTCAAATGATATTGCCAACTAGAATTGATCATGTTTAGGGTTACTTGCATTAGGAATTTGCAAACTTATATTGTGTATTTTGGGCCCTAAGGTGCATGTATAATGATTTGTGAGATAGCAGAGCCAAAATATTAGTGCAAGGAAGGGTTGTGTATGACATGTGATTGATGATGATTAATTAATGATTACGTGATTAGAGCTCCCCCTTCTGTTTTTGAAATTAAAGGGGTTAAACATTAAAAATGTGTTGTATTTGTTATTTGTGAGACATTGTGTATTGCATAAGTCCAATTTGGTCTTTTAAGTATGGTTTAGGGTGTGAATTTGGCTTTTGACACTTGAAATGAGAATTGGGCACCTATGTTGTGTAATAAGATTGAAAAGGAGTGAGTTTTTGAAATGTGTGTCTAAATTTTGATTGAGAAATGTTATGATTGTGAAATTGATACTAGTTAGAGTTAAGAGAAAGTTCTCTTTAGATAGTTCGGGAATTTTTTAAATCATTGAAAAGTTTGATTGAGTTTTTGAAATGTTATGATTGTAAAATGGGATGCGTCAAAAATTCACCCCATTGCTATCAAAATTGTGAAATGAGCTATGGCACATGATATAAAGGCAAACATGCCATAACGCATGTATAATAAGCCATGGCTTATGCCTGTTTTCTGCACTATCACAATGTTTTTAACTTTTATGTAAGTGTTTTGACTCTTTTGGATTCTCATGTTTTCGCATACTAATTAAACTCTAATTCTTGATTGGTAAAGATGTTTTGGTGAGTTTTAAATTTTAAAAACTTGGATCTTAAATTGTAATTCTACAAACTTGATAATCATACTTTGGGGATAATTTCTTGATTACTTTAAATTTTAGAGTTCATTAGTGATTAGTAATAGTGACCTTACAATTTTCCATGGGGTTTTGTGTGACTCCATTTTACACATTCCCTCCTAAAATTAGATTCTTAAGAATTGGAAATAATGCCAACCAAACTTAAAAAAATACCTTGTCTTTTTTCTTTTCCTTGGTTTGACTCTAATTTCATGCAAACCAAACGAGCTCTTATTTCTTTATTTAAACAAGGGAGAGTTACCATCTTCAAACCTTAGCTATGAAAAAAATAATTTTTAAATTAATTTATGGGAAAATAATAAATTAACTTTTAAACTATAAGTTTGGAATTTTAAACTAATTTTTGGTATAGTGTTCCTCTTTAATTTTTAAAAATAATATAATTTGACCTTATTATTGATAAAAGTTAACTTTAATCATTAGTTGATCAAAAAATAACAAAAAAGAACCTAAAAATTATAGAAAAAACAAAAAAATTACACAAAAGACCCAAAAATTATAGAAATGACCAATAATTTTTTTAAAATAATTTTGATGTCATTTTTTAATCAATTAATGATCAAAGTTAATTTAATAGTAAAGGTCAAATTATACTATTTTTAAAACTTAAAAAAGGAATATATGCACCAATATTAAGTTTAAAGTCTCATATGCTTCTAAACCTATAATTTAGAGGTCAATTTATTTATTCACCCTTAATAATTTTTAGAACATCTATGTAAAACTTTGTGCTTTGTTTATGGACGAAAGATAAACAGAAGAAATGTTTTCTTTTTTATAATTGAATGGATGGGGAAAACATCAAGAAACGAAAAAAATTAATTAGTTTCACACCAATAATACTAATGTAATTTTTTTTAAGAATTCAGCGATTTTGCTTCATTTAAATTTAAAATTTATTTTCAACTTAATATTATGTAAAAAATAATATTATAAAATAGATGTTGAGAATGGGGAGCAACACTCAAAGCAGGAGAATAATTTAGCAAAAATAATGGAAGGATATTATATCTTAAATTGAAATTTTAAATTTCAGGTTTTTCCTCTTTTATTATATATTAGTTATTAAACTGTATTTTGTCTAACGTGAAACTTTCTTAACTTAAGTTTACTCATACTTTTACAATCTAATAATTTTTCTTTCATGTGTAAGTCCACAAGCTTTATATATAAAAGACACCAAACACCAATTCCTACTCATGCAATCAAGCCTAGTTTTTGGGCATCAAAAGATATTGCACATACAAGTCTTTGTTGCAATTAGAGCTAGTCTCATTCTGGGCTTTACATGTGAGTGCAATATAAGGGCTTCTAACTCTTGGACAAAACCTAATTTTAATAACATTTATTGAGAATGTAGAGTGACTATTTAAAAACTGGTGAAGAAAACAAATGGGTAAAAATAATGAAAAAAAACATTTGAACTAAAAGGCTTAAAACTTAAGTTTATGTATATTTTTCTCTTTGATTATATATTAGTCAGTAAGCTGTACTATGAAACCTTCCATTTCGAGTTAAATCTCCTTACACTTAAACAATTTAATGAGAGGCATTCTAGATTTGTTTTATGGTTACACACATGGCATACATAATCTGAAGTTCAAATAATAATATGCACCCTGCCTAGCAAATAATTTGATATAGTTATCAACTACTTATAGACTACAATATAAGTTATCGTTAGCTAATTTATGTTTCAAAAAAAAAGTTAATTAAAATTTTAATTTTTTATTATCCAGAATAATATTTTTTTATTTTTCAAAATAGTTTATAAAGAATAAAAAATTATTTTTTGAATAAGTTGCCAAACAAGATATATATAATTTTTACCCAGTGCTATATATTTAGAACAAAGCAAAGCTTCTAAAAAATAATTTATATTGTAGTTTGAACTGAATATAATTTATACATTGATGTAGGAGGAATTATATTCAAAAATTAAATTCAAATTACCTTACCAATATTAGTATTGAATATCTTATTAATATTTGGTAATTAATAATCATGAACAATAATCTCCAAAAAAACACCAAAAAACCTTTTTTTGACCAGTAAATAAAACTGAAGATACATCTGTTAATGATTTTTTTTTTAGAAATTTTCTTGACTTAATTATGGGCGAGTTTTTTTAGGATCAAGAGATAAGTAATTTTTATATAGTTTAAAGATTTCATTAAACAAAGATTTATTTTGTATAGATTTTATTAAAAAAAGATATTATTTTATATTTAATTATAATAAAAAAATATTATTATTATTTAGTTATTATTAGATTTTATGTATCGTCATGAATTTTTATTTACAAAAATAATTTCTTATTCAGTTACTTTAAGATTTTATAACATAGTGGGCATTTTTCATATTTTCATGGCACTCTCTCTCATTGGAATAATGAGAGATTTATTTTTTTAAAATTCTGATTATTTTTAAAATTTTCATAAATATTATAAAATTTTACAAAATAAATTTTTAAAAAATAATTTTTTTCCTTGGATCAAAATTAAACAAACGGGCACTCTATCAAAATGTATAACTGATTATCATGATCAGATACATTAAATATTTATATCTGTGTGTGTGTGTGTGTATATATATATATAAAACGCCACAGCAGGGGCATTCTCGCCCTCTTGGCGTACGAACAAGCCAGCAGTCCCGTAGAAGAAACAGAGCAGAGAAAATTACACGAAGTCCGTCAATTCTTTTCACCATCTTGAAAAGTGGTTCAGAAAATCCCAAATCCCAATTTCTTAAAATAAGAGAGCGAAGCCAGCTTCTGCTAAAAAGACAGATCCTTCTTCTGGCGCCTTTTACTGCGCATTCAAACTCCTATCGTCCTTCAGCTTCTCCCACAAGCAAGAGACCCGGAGCCAAGGCCTCCTCTTTGGCTCTTTCCCTCTCTCTGGGTTGTCAACTAGTGTTCAAATTTGATACCTTTTCTTCGGTTATTCTCAAGCTTGTCATTCGACTGTCATGGAGGACTGTACGGCCACCCAGTCTTTGAACTCGACGCAGGCCGAACTACACATGGCAAGTACGGCCGACATTAACAACCCCTCTTTTGCAATGGGAGCTGTCGGAGTCCAGAACTCCGCCGTCGGAGGAAATTCCGAGCCTATCGGTTCGGAGGTTGGGTTGAAGAGGAGAAGGGGACGGCCTCGGAAGTACGATGCAAACCTTTCGTCCCCAAAATCGACGCCGTCGGGACTTTCAACTTCTCCATCTTCTAAGCGAGGCAGAGGAAGGCCACGCGGCTCTGGAAAATTGCAGATTTTAGCTTCAATGGGTGAGCATATATATGTTTGTCTTTCTCCTTGTATCTAGTGTTATGATACCTACGCAGAACAACGTTGTTTTTATTAATGATGTTATGGTCTGCCTGTTTGTCTTCTCCTTCTGAGTTGAGCATTTGGCTCGATTTCTCTGCTTACAGTGGGCATATCCTACATTGGAGTGTGAGTGCCTGATTTGGAACTGAGCATGTGCTTTTGAATATAATAAAATAGTAAAAGCTCTATAATTTTATAATGTGGCATGCCTGCTTGTGTCTTGACGGGCCAATCAATCGTTGGTTTGAGAATTTAGTTAGTTCATCTCTCTATGCATGAGATATATCAATCACACGCTCGAGAGTCGAGAAGCTACTTCCTCTTGAGAATAACGAAGAAAAAAATACACATACACAAATACTCGTTGATGCAGAACAGTAAAGAGAAAGTGGAAAGGGAAGGACTAGGAGAAAGTGGAAGAAAACGAGAGACAAAGCGTTGGGATAGAACTGAAGAAAATAGCTGGTCTGAACGAAAGAAATTCTAGGCCCCAGGGCTATTTATAGGAACCCGAAAATAAGGTAAAATATAGACTAGCAAAGAAAACAACATAAAGTCAGGAAATAAATAAAAGTAGAAAATATAATAAAATAACAACTTGCTTACGGAATCTTCTTCTTCTTTTTGGAATTGGCATAAATATAACAGTATCAAGCTAGTTTAGAGAATTTAAACTTGTTTCTCATGCGTGAAACTTTTTTTTTTTTTTTTTGGGCTGAAGGAGGAATGTTTTCAGCCACAGCTGGAGGAAGCTTCGTCCCTCATGTAGTGATTGTGAATCCTGGGGAGGTAATACGAAGACTCAAGAGTGAAACAATTTTTCATTTTTCAAAATTTTCCTTGACATGGTGTCTATACTTTCTGTTATGAACGGAGAATGAACGGGAATCCAGCTTTTGGTAACTGCAGGATGTTTTGGATCGCATATTATCATTTTCTCGTAGAGGCCCTCGAGCTCTTTGCATCCTCTCAGCTATCGGTGCTGTAGCTGTTGTCCACATTCGGCAACCTGATTCTTCTGGTCATTGTTTGAGATATCAGGTACATTCTCATGCACGCTTTATGGGAATCTTTCTGCTAATACTTATCGATTTATCTTTCACTTTATATCTCAACCTTGAGAGCCTAGTTTGTTTGGTAAGAAAGATGGTTATCTCACTTAAAGGGGTTTGATCCTTTAGGAAGAACATGTCATGCTTCTGTTTTTCAACTTATGTTTGATTCCCTCAAAGAGCACTCTGAGATAAAATCCTAAATGCACAATACTAAGGTAAGAGAATGCACCCTAAAATTGTCTAGAGAGGATAATTTTTTATTTCGGGCAAAGTCAGAGGATACCCCTTAGGCCTTTACTGTAATGCCAGGAAATAGTTGCTTATCCTTGTGGAATAGGTAAAAACAAAGGACCTTCGACTCTGACTCTCCCACTCCAGTCGATGCTTTTGTTACTTCGAAAGTATTTGCTTCAGCTTAAGCCACTCGAATTTTCAATATTCCTAATGGGCTACTGATATTGAAGTTTGTTTAAGTATGCAATTTATAGTGTAAGATAGGCTATTTTACTCCCATTATTTTCCCGGTTTGTGGATTTTTTTAATGTTCCCACATGCAGGGTCTCTTTGAGATAATAACGTTATCTGGATCTTATACCTATGGTGGCATTGGTGGTGGTACACATCGGAAAAGTCTCACCATGAGTATATCGCTGGCTCAACCGGATGGGAAGCTTTTCGGAGGTAGTGTTGGGGGCTCTTTGATAGCGGCTGGCCGTATTCAAGTAAGATTTTGTTTAACTATCCATGTGACGCTAAAATGGGCTAATTTATGTTGAAGCACAAAGTGGTGTGAAAGCATCTTTATGGGTCAGAATTTACATGGTAACGTAGCAATTATAGTATGTATGGAATGTGTTCTTGTGGGAAGAAATTATGAAAGTTATGTGCTACTTGCATAAACTTGATAGTTTCTCTTTGAAGTTGGAAGCCTTTAAGCAGCCAATTGCTGGCAATGATGCTTCCATAAGGCTGTTTCTAGTTCTACATTGAACTAGCTTCTTCGTTAATTTTGGCAATACTGGTTTTTGGACTATAGGAAAACAGGTAGATGCTCAAGTCTGATCTGATTCTAGATCTCACCAAAACCAGAATTAGATGCGGATAAGACTTAAGTTTTTTAAAGAATTTGCTATTAGGTCTTTGAACATAAGCATAAATAGCGAGCTTGTTTTTCTTGTTGGTTGAAACAAGCAATCATACAGTGCTAACCTATATATAATATTCATTTCTCATGTTTTTGTTGAAGGACTTGAAAGCAGACAATTAAAAATTGTATCTTTGTGTTGCCCAAGCATGGTGATGCTACTAAAAGTAACTGACTTGAACCTGACACTTAATTCTCTTTTCAACAGCTAATTCTGGGCACTTTTAAGCAAAACATCAGTAGTGAAATTAAAAGGAGGCTGTCCCCTGGATCTTCTGGTACTGCCGACATGCCTGGTGATTCAGATTCAAGGAGGCTTTCCTTACAAGTTCCTAAACTGATAGAATCTGAACAGAGTTTCCCTTCGCCAACGTCCGGACTTATGCCGACATCTAATGGACTGCCTGATCATGTCGCGCCTAGAACATCTAATGGATTTCCAGACAACGTCTCTCCTGCAACAACTAATGGAAATGGGTTACCAGATTTCTTTTCTCCTAATCAAAGCATGCACCCTACCTCGTTGAACGGTAGCGGCCTGGACTGTCAGATCTTGCAGCCCTTGACAGATCAAATAACATTTGGAGATAATTAATAATCGTGTCTCTCAGATGTGAAGCTGTAAAACAGTCATTTTTAAGATTGCATTTCTTCCTTCTTTCTTATGCTAGGGTAGGTGCTGACTTAAAAGTGGGTTATTTCTTTCTTTTTTTCTTTTTCGTTTTTAGTCTAGCTTTTCTGGTAGCGAAAAATCTGCTATTATGACTCTTAACCGACGGACTTGTGAGAGAAAACCGAGGCCTGGTGAATCTCACTTTTAGAGGTTGTATTTCAATCTTACCTCTCGTGTACATGTGACAGGAGAGGATTCAAATTGGTTATAAAGACGCCGTATCTACCTGTATGGCTGTCGCCTTCAATAACTGTTTCAATGCATAATTCGTCATTTGCTTCTCTTTCAATTTGAACCAAAAAAAAAAAAAAGACTCTAGTCTTTCATTTTTGACATGAAAGATGGAAATGGAATAGTAAACTGACTAATTTAGTAACGTTGAGGAATGACATCAATGGGTTATACTTATACATTAGCGAACAATCTGTAATTTTTAGCATCAAGGACTATTTGTCTGACTGCTGCAATGGCTGCTATAGCTCCCAAAGCAGAGAAAGTGACAGCAATAATGACGTTCAGCCAGAAAATGGGGCTTCGCTTGGATGGCTTAAAAGTGAGGTTGAAGAAAATCGCAGGCAAGATGAAGTCAAGTGGAGTGAAACCAAAAGCACCAATGAGTGCGTTTATGTCCCCGAAAAATGGAAGCATCGCTGCTATAACAACGGCCAGAGCAGTACTCAATGACCGAGAGATCACTCTGGGGATCACATTGCGCATTGAAAACTCTGCGCTTTGTGGGTCCGCAAACGCTTGCTCCATCATTTCATTCGTTGGCTGCAAGTAAACCTGCACACCGCCACACCGTAATATTGAAACAACCCCATTCCTAGGCATTATGTTTATGTATGAACTAACATGCAAAAGTGTTTTTCATTTGTTCACTCAACAACGATATTGAAGATGGATGACAAGGGATACGTACCACCCCAACAGCTGACAGCTGAGCTATGGTGAAAATGTTGGTCATATAAATAAACCATCTGGGCACCAAAGGCGTCCCGTTATCAACAAAGTTGTTTAAGACGAGGCTAGCAGCATGGTTCCCAAATGCCCAGTAACCAGAGATTGCAACGCTGAAGAACGTCAATGTAAGTACCAAGTAACAAACACACAATCCCTTGAACATCTTCCCCTTCACAGGGGGCGCCAATGTTGCCTGTAAGCCCAGAAAAACCAAAACACATTAATTCATCTTCATTTAAGACACGAACAATTCGACGTGGTTGATCGTTTGAAAAGTGTGAAATCAAGTACTTAATTGAAATATTGGGAACCTGGATTTCTGGAATGATTCCATTTCCGTAAGTGGTGGCAATGATGGCAATAGCATTGAAGATTCCGAACAGACGAGTCTGCGTATCGCCTTGCAGAGAATAATCTTTTCGCGGGCCTTTAGAAGAGTCGCCTGTGGGAATTTGGGTAAAACACCATGTAATGAATTGGAATGCATGTATTAATTAATTAACCTGTTGGGAATGAAAGAAATAGAAATACCAATATAAATGGAAGCGCCAGTAGCACAAGCACTGTAGGCAAGGCAGAGGAGCAGGGACACCATATTGATGTGCCTCAGAGAGTGAAACGATGGGAGCTGAGCTAATATGAGCATCAAGCATCCGAATATCAACACAAACTCGTACAGCTTCATGCTCCCGCTAGGGTTTGCCACCACGTAAATTGCCTTCATTTCAGAATGCTCACAGCACTCACTTCATCAGTGTGCGTTCAAGATCATAGATAGATTCTCAAGTAGATTTCATTTCATTGTTTACGTCTCTACGTGGACGACAAAGTTTAAGCCTTTAGGATTTGAGGTAATTACCTTCATGCACTGTCCTCCCAGAAGAGTACACGCCACAACAGCACCGTAGCAGACCGCGAATTGAATTGGCCCCACAAAATACCGACCCCATGCGGGCCCTGGCATTAATATAAACAACAGACGGTAGGTTAGAATTTTATTTAAATTGGGCCTAAATCTTCCGAAGCCTGCCGTACATGTTTAAGCCCGACATCTGCACTGATATCATTTAAACTGTATATCTAATTTTAAATAAAATAATTGGGAATTATAATAATATAATAGACAACTACATAAAATAATATTTTACTTTTATATACCACACCTGGCTTTACCTGAGCCAAATATTTAATAATAATGAATATAATTTCTATACCTGTGTAATAAAATATCATAGGAAACGCGTATAGTACTGTTAGGATTGACCACTAGCTTGAAAGATGAGAACGTAGATAAATGTGCGGTTAATATTCAGCAGAAGCAGGAAACATAAATGCAGTATTTACAGCTTAGGATAGGATGTAGAATTATGCAGATATAGAAATTAAGGAGGGGGCAAAAAGAGAGAGAACCTAAAATATGGTGAGCCAAGTCTCTGAATCGGAGAAGGCGGTGACCATGGTGAGCATGGTGTTCAAGGACCAGGGACAATAAATTGTAGTTATAGAAAGTGACGAGAGCAGCAACAACCAAGCAGATGACGCCACCTGTCCACCCCAGGAACGTGAAGGCGTAGGGAAGACTCAGCAATGGCGGAGCTACTATGGACGTCGTGAGGTGGTAACCACAGTGCACCCACGATCCTGCGATTATAATAATAAATCACAATGACGGCGATGATGATATCAAGTGTAAACAATGATGATGATGCGGCGGCGGCGGCGGCGGCGGCGGCGATGATGATATCAAGTGTAAACAATAATAATTAATAATAAAATCCTCCACCATGTGCCTCATTCCTCAGAACAAGGAATTGAAAAGGAATAATTATGGGGGAATTAGAATCAGACAAACACGGCGTCTCTTCTTCTTTCGTATGATGAATGAAGTGAAAGAACCAACGCAGAGATGGGATGGGATGGGATGGGATAGAGACACATATAGGTTCCGAGAAATAACAGCATATATAAATATATATTTTTTTTTGTGGGGAGGGGGGGGGGGGGAGAGTATAGTTACCTTTAGATTTAAGAACAAAGAGGGCTCCGGCATCGGCGACATGCTTGTGAGGGAGATCAAGCTGTACAGAACTTGTGGTTGGGTTCTCTGCTCCGTCGCGGACGACTTTGGAGGTCGGAAGCAGAGAGCTCATTTTCTTCCTCCTCTTCACTGTTTCTTTATATCACAACTACAAGTCCAAGAACAGGACAACCCCACACATAACCTAATGAGTAGTTGAGTACTATATATAGAATAGGGAGGGGGTTATACTTATTATATCAGTTAAATTAAATAATGGATTGATTGATATTGCGGCAACCAGTAGTCAATATTTTGGACCCCTCGTCTAATATGTATATATAAAGGCCAACTTGTGGATGATGATGATGTGGACGACGCCATTAAAGACAGGAAGAGAAGGGTCAGGACCCGGGAAAGAGAGGGGAGCTCAAAACTAATGGAGCTTGCAAATGAAAGGGGGCATGGGGGTCGGAAAATTCAAAGGTACTACTGAAATGAAGGGAGAGGAGTGGGGTGATGTGAACATACGCTGTGAACATACGCTGTCTGCGGGGGAGGTCTTATTAATTTAGGGCCAATCTGATTATTGAGGGTTAATGGATAAAAGTATCCTGAAATATTTTTAACAGGATGCATGATAATCTAAATTTTTTGCTGGTATAATTTGTCTCAAAATTTAAGGGGGGAAAAAGGTGTAACATTACCTCGCGCTTATCCAAACATTCGTTGACCGTTAGGCCCTTGGGTTGACCAATAAATACACACAAGTCACACTCTGATTTGTTCTTTTTCCACAATCAAATTACAAGTGTCACCTCTTTGCTTCTCCTCCTCCCCCTCCTTTCCTCTTCAGCTTCCGACCTAGCACGAACGAGAGAGTTTTGCCTTCTCCTAGTTTCACATTCATGAAGAAGATTCCTCGCAACATGACGTTTTCAAGGCGGCGGATTCAACAGAGGGAGGTGAGCTTAATGGGCAAATTGGTGTCCAGGTAAAGAAGCTCCGTCACTAGATCATAGGGCCCATTCGCCGCCACCCAATCAATTGGTGACGCGTACTACTATTGATCTCCGATGCGCTCCCAACGAGGCCGAAAATACGAGGGAGGTATTTTAGCTTCTTCTTCTTCTTCTCCTAAATACTGCTATGAATAGAAAAATTTGTATGAATCCACTCCGAGCTCTCGAATGCTGCGCGGCAGGATCCTGAGAAGTTCAAGGATGGTGCTGTAAATAATTTCCTCTTGTTTGGAATTTGTATGTTTCAATGATTAGGAAACATGACGGAAATTTTTTAAGTGATGGAATACAGAGGTCGAGTGTTAGACAAAAGAGAAGTCCATAAATCTTTTATGGCCAAGCTATCAGAGATTGCTGCCTCTGAGACAATACCGTCTAAGGTGCCATCGTGAATGGTACTTTTTGCGGGATGAGAATACTATGACATTGGAAAGAAAGATGTTTTGGGTTGCTTAGTGTTGTGATGAATCTTTCATGGATTGTTGTTTAGTGTTGTGGGTTTGTGATGACAAATGCAATGGTTTTGACAGGTGGATTAAGGTAGAAAGTTTTAAACCTTTTTGACGTGGAAAGATGAGGTTTTTATTGCATCTAATAATGTGATTCATACAGTAAGAGGTGGCTTGAAAGCTCTTCTTCCTTCAACTCAAGTTGCAGACCTGGACCTGGCGAGGTTGAAGAAGATGGTGGTGTATGGGTGTGGGTTATTTGGGCGACCTTTTTTTTAAAAAAAAAAAAAGCCACGTGGCACATAAACAATTAACCTTGATGGCAGGGTGATAGTCTATCTTTTTTCCTTTTTAATTTCAGGACAAAATTATTTTAATAAAAAATTTTAAATATCAGGTGTTCTTGGGAAAAAGAGTTTTAAGAAAAAATTTTCCTTTAATTTTAAAATTAAAAAAATAGTTAAGTTTGACATTTTAATTAAGTTGTGTCAGTAGAATATAAAACTAACCATGGATGTTTTATTGAATAAAAATCTATTTTTAACTTGTTTACAAGCTATTTATTAGATTTTTTTTAGGTTTTGTTGGAAAAAAAAATTCATAGCTACACATCTCTTACATGTTTAGCTGAAATTCTCTTAATAATTTTTCATATTTAACCTCACTAAAATTACTTTTTTAAATATTTAACAGTTTGACCCTTAACCAGTGGTGCTTTGGAAAAAAATTCCGACTCTAGATCTCCCTTGGATTTCTTTCCGAGCCTCCAACCACAATATACTTAATTTTATAATTTTAATTTCTTTAATCAAAACTTAGTTACCAATTACAATGACAAAGTATTTTGCAACTCACCGCTATTTGTAAGTATGCAACGCCCTCAACCTCATTAATCTACTGTTACATAAAATAAACGAAAAAAGAAAACTAGCTGCACATTCGCAGGACTTCCGGGAGGCTTTGTGCGCTGCTTCACACACATCTTTCCCATTATCCAATTCACTTCGTTCTGTTAGTTAGCACAGTGCATTTTTTTTTAAATTATTTTTATAATTTTTTAAAAAATGTAACTTATAAATAAAATAAAGAGAGTTGAAGAGGGAGAACCGTCTTAAAAAGTTTGATGTAAACACGTGTTTCCTCTTTGACAGACGAGCAAAACCATACCACCCAATCTCTGAGAAGTGAGAAGCATTAATTGCCGTGATTTCTCTCACAGGGATGAGGGTAATCCATCGAGAGATAGAATTGGGAAAGATGGAAGAAGCCACGTGGACAACTACTGCATACATAATAGGAAAAATTACAATCAGATTTCATACAAAAAAAATTAATTACTATAAAATTTATTAACAATTAAGTTAAACTGTATTAATAAAATAATACAATTTAATTCAATTATTAATAAATTTTATAATAATTAATTTTTTTACATAAGATTTTAATATAAATCTTCCTACATAATGATGAAGGTTTTGATTTTATTTGCACACCTAATGTTCAAACCTGGAATCATTCATTAAGTTAACAGAGCGCTTTATTCATTGGTTCCATGTCGCAATCTTTAATTGAAAAACTAAACACTAAAGAGCGAACACGCATAAGCTAAGCTAAAGATAGCATAGGTTTCTTCCAAAAAGAAATATAATTGGCTCTAAGAATCACACTAACTCAAAATAAAATTCATTAGTCTTAACATTTTTTGCCAACATAATTAGTCTTAACATAGATTAATCAACATGCCCTGCATTTTTTATTACTTACAAGTATTTTTTTGTTGGAAGCAATCATGTCTAAGGTACGATTGGATGCTAAATGTAAATACACAGGCAAATGAACAATAAAATAGACACAACAATAATAGAACCAAATTTAATAAAAGAAGTGATGGAATAAAATTTGTTAATTTAAACTTGGATATGGTATGATGCAAAAGTCAATGCATATATTTTTATTTGTATATTTAATAAATAAAGCAATAGGGAAGTTGGAATGAATGATAAGTTACAAAAAATAATTTTAGAACAAAAGCCATTGTAATATTGAGAAAATTGCTAATAAAAACCTGATCAAATTTAAGTTTGTTGAGAAGGACTTAAGAGAAATTCTAGATTAAGGTCTTTCGTTAGCATTAATTCGAATTGTCAAATGATCATATTGCCCTGATTAAATTCTCTCTCCTCTCAATCTCTCCTCTTTGTGTTCATGGCAATTCCAGCAATGACTTCCTTTCTTTCCTCATCCTCCTTTAATTTGTGTACAGATGAAAGAGTAGAAAGGGCATATAAATGGCTTCTAAAGTTTCTCTAAAAGCAAAACGCAAGAATTCCAAGAGCTCCACATTTAGCCATCCACCTTTGAACGATCCACCACCCTCTCTCATGCGTTGAGTCATCTTGCCATTACTAGCTACCGTCCAGACTTTGGTAAATCACACCAAATAATATTTAGCTTTCATTGGCCCATTCTGATTTATAATGATTTAGACCAGAGAATTGAAAATTGATTCATTGTATATATTGAAAATTGCTTTGTCCAACCCTAAAGAGAAAGGTCTCAAGTGACTGCATCATCCACTACATTCTTTAGTGTGTGTGAAAAGGGCAAGCTAGAAGAGTAAGTCAATTTTACATAATGGATTTGTTGTGTATTCTCAGGCCTTTATTCTTTCATGATATCCATTGCATATGGTTGTATAAAGTTAGCAATTCAACCAAGCTTCTATTAGATCTAAATTTTACCCCTAATTTATAGATCCTAAAGGAGAATAAGGACAAGTAGGATGCATATTTGAATGAACGGTTTAAACATAGTAAGTATTGGAGCGGCATTTAGTACATTATGATTTTTTTCTCTCATATAGTGTAACATCCCAATTTAAATTCTAATAGTTAATTTGAATTAATAAAAATTTTTAAAAAATATTTAGAGGTAAGCAAATTAGTAGGAGATGATTGTTAAATCTAACTTAAGATATAATTCTAAATTAAAATTTTAAAAAAATTAAAATTAATTAATTAATTAAAAAATATTAAATTATTATTATTATTATTATTATTATTAAAATTAAAAGAAAAGGAAAAGGTATAAAAAAACAAAAGAAAGAAGAAGAGAAGCTTTTGGCGTTCGTCCGCGTGTAATAATTATATATATATATATATAATAATAATAAAAAGAGAAGAGAGAGGACAGAGGAAAATAAAAAAAATGTGCGACCCGCAGTATTTTTAATAAAACCACCCTCTTTCCTTCGCTTCTTCATTTCTTCCCTGTGCGAGAGCTGAGGCAAAGAGCAAGCGAGAGAGCGAGCGACGCTGTGGCTAGAGGAGTTGATTTAGAAGATGAAGCTCCATAGTAAGATATTTCAGATGAGATTTTAAGTATTCTATAATTAGGTAAGTATTCTAAATATTTTTTTTAGTCGTTTTTCCCTTTGAGCTGCAGATTCTAAAATTTTAGAAAACCTAGGGTTTGAAAGAGGGATGAATTTATGTTTAATAAATATAGTTTTTGAGGTTGTTAGTAGTGTAATAAATATTCTAGAGTATTATTTTGTTGATAGAATTAGAATTTGAGGCATTTGAGTTTATTCCTAGATCCCTATGGGTAGATTTTTGGTTAAATCTGAAAATATAAATTAATTTTTTAATATTTAGATGATTATTTGAGATGAGAAATAAATTATTATGGCTATAGAATAATGATTCTAGGCTTGAAATCAAGTTCGCAATTTTTGGGTATT